TCACAGGGGTCCCAGGACGAGAGAAGAGATGAGAATCTTGACTCCATGTTTCAGAAGGCTGATTTATTATTTTATTATATATATTATATTAAAAGAAAATTATATATTAAAACTATACTAAAAGAATAGAAGAAAGGATTTCATCAGAAGGCTTGAAAGGAATAGAAAGGAATGATAATAAAATCTTGTGACTGACCAGAGAGTCTGAGACAGCTGGATTGTGATTGGCCATTAATTAAAAACAACCACATGAGACCAATCCCAGATGCACCTGTTGCATTCCACAGCAGCAGATAACCATTGGTTACCTTTCATTCCTGAGGCCTCTCAGCTTCTCAGGAGAAAAAGATCCTAGCAAAAGGATTTTCCATAAAATATGTCTGTGACACATCTGCACAGGGCTGGGTGAGATGTTCTGTCCCCCAGTGCCAGGGCTGCCTGTGCTCAAAGCTGCAGGTCACAGGACAGCCCACGTGCCCCACACGGGTGCCACCAAAGTGTGGCCACCAGCCAAGTGTCCCCACATTGCCTTCCTGCTGCTGCTGCTGTCCCCCCAGGGGCAATGGACTGCAGGCACACAGGATTCCTGTCCTGTGCTGGCGCCATCAATAGCACCCAGGGCTGTCCTGCCATCCTCCAGACCACATTCCAGTTGTGTTCCATCAGCACAACTGGCATCTGCTGGGAGCACAGACCTGGGAACAGGAACAGGAACAATTGCACATTCCTACAGAACATTTGAGGCTGGCTGCTGGGCTTTAGAGCACAAGGGAGATGCTCAGAACAGCTCAGCAGGCTGCAAAAAAAGGAAATTTTAATAGCATGTGCTTTTTGATTAAAAAAAAACAACCAGCTGAGGACTAAGAACCATGAGATGAGTACGAAACTGCAGTGGGTGATTCACAAACCCAGTTTTAGCAAACCTAAGTAAAAACGCCAAGTATGGAAAACTGAAAAGCATGTATGGAGATGGCTCATGATCTAGTATCACAGCCTTTGTTTCTCTTCCCACTCTTTCACTACTCCATGGAGTAAAAGGAAACATTAAAATTCATCCTCAGTGTGTTGAAAGTTCCTACTGCTTTCTGTGAGTCAGGCCAACTTTCTTACCTTTAATGCTCCCTAATAATTTTTTTTTTATCTTTTCCTCTCCTGTCTGTCCTGGTCAATAATAATTGATTTCCAGAATAAGAAACCTCAATACCTGAAATAGCACTCCTGGCACATCACAAGCCTTTGGCCTCTGTTCAGCCACAATTAACATCATCTGCCCAGTTACTGCCTGTACCAGTTGTACTCCAATATTCTGCCAGTCAATTTCAGCAGCTATCACTCTGCCAGGATGCTGGCTTCTGCTAGGAGCAGGATTTCAGCCCTCTGTGAACTCCACTGGCTATGTTTTATTGCTTTGATTGCTTCTGTGCCTCAATAACCAAGGGTCAATCTTGACTTTTGAGACACACCCATTTCCCCAGCAGCAGGGAGTGTCCCAAAGAAGGCAGGAATGATGACTCTGACTCCATGTTCTCAGAAGGCTATTATATTATATTATATTATATTATATTATATTATATTATATTATATTATATTATATTATATTATATTATATTATATTATATTATATTATATTATATTATATTATATTATATTACATTACATTACATTATATTATATTACATTACATTATATTATATTACATTACATTATATTATAGAAAGGATACTTACTGAATGCTAAAAAGATAATAATTAAAACTCGTGACTCTCTCCAGAGTCTTGACACAGCTTGGCCCCAATTGGTCAATGAGTCAAAACAACTCACACCAGAATCCAATCAGGCAATCATCTGTGGGTAAACAATCTCCAAACACATTTCACATGAGCAAAACACAGGAGAATGAGATAAGAATTGTTTTCCTTTTATCTGAGGCTTCTCAGCTTGCCAGGAGAAAAATCCTGGGCAAAGGGACTTTTTTCAGAGAATGTGAATGCCACATGAAGATTTTGTGGAGATATTGCCTGGAGTGATTTCACTGTTCTGGGGCAGAACACAGGGAAAGTGGGTGTGAGTGTAGGTGTGGGTCACAGCCACCCCTAGAAGTGACCACCACCATCCTCCTCAGTGCCACAAAACCCCTGATGCTTTGCTCAGGAGTGAGAAGGCTCCTCCCCACCAGTGAAAACTGAAAGCTGGAGCTTTGCTGAAGTGTCTGTGCACCGCCAGGGCAAGCCAGGCCTTGCTGTGCTGTCCAGACTGTCCTGGTACTTCAGGCTGGCATGCCCTGATCCCTGAGCAGGCATTAGCAGCAGAGCACACCCTGGGGTCCCCCAAAACTCCCCCATTTCCAGTGGCAGAGCTCTGGCTGGCAGCCTGTGACACCTCCAGGTGAGGGACTTCCCCTGCAGCCTGAAGGGCACCTTGGAGGAGCAGGGGAACCATTGCTGTGACAATTTAGGAATTAAAGCACCTGAAAGTCAAGGCTGACATGGTGAAGCTGCAGGCTTAATTACCTCCTGGCACCTACACCTTTCAGAGGAGGCTTTAATTAGATGATGATTGTAATTTTTCCAGTGTGGTCCTCACTGAACACATAGGGCCTGCTCAGTCTGGGAGGGTGGCTGCAGCCCCCCTGTCTCCTCCCAGCTGTCATCCCAGGTGACACATTCCTTATTTTCTGGGTCACCAGCCTCCAGGTTGCTCTGTGGGCATGGACACCCCTCATGCCTGTGGTGGGTGGCCACAGAAACTGTGCCTGAGAATGTGGGGTGGTTGTGAGGGGTGGAAAATCGCATTTCTGACACTCACAGGGAGAGGAGAACTTTGACCTTGATGTCCCTGATCATCTGCAAAATGCAAATTTCTTGTTCCTCCTGAGTTTTGCCATTAGGCCAATCTCCACAAGTGCCTTTGAGCTGCTGCATCCTGAGCCCAGAGGCTCTGGGGCTCTTTTCCTGTGGGATGTGAGAGGAGAGGGCTGCAGGGCTGGGCAGGGAAGCTGCCCCTCTCCACACCACTGCTCCCCCCTGCCATCCCATCAACACCAGCAGCCTCTGGACAAACCATCCCCATTGGATAAACCATCCCCACTGGATAAACCACCCCCACTAGACAAACCATTCCCACTGGATAAGCCACCCCCACTGGATAAACCACCCCCACTAGACAAACCATCCCCATTGGATAAACCATCCCCGCTAGATAAACCACCCCCACTAGACAAACCATCCCCATTGGATAAACCACCCCCACTGGATAAACCACCCCCACTAGACAAACCATCCCCATTGGATAAACCACCCCCACTGGATAAACCACCCCCACTGGATAAACCATCCCCACTGGATAAACCACCCCCACTGAACAAACCATCCTCACTGGATAAACCACCCCCACTGGATAAACCACCCCCACTAGACAAACCATCCCCACTGAACAAACCATCCCCACTGGATAAACCATCCCCACTAGACAAACCATCCCCACTGAACAAACCATCCCCACTGGATAAACCCCCCCATTGGATAAACCACCCCCACTGGATAAACCACCCCCACTAGACAAACCATTCCCACTGGATAAACCATCCCCACTGGATAAACCACCCCCGCTGTTTGCTGTTCCTGGCTTTCAGGAGAGTCTGGCTGCAATGAGGCATTTAATTTCCATGGCAGGTTCAAAGCTCCACCATAGTCACTGAGAGGAGCTCAGAGTTGCTCTGAGGAAAGGGGCACAACACTGGCAGAAGCATTCAAGCCCCATCCTTCATTCTCATGTCTGCAATTTATTTTTATTCCACCCACACTTGCTTTTTTTCACTGGCAGCAGAGATCCTTTTCAATGGCTCTTTTCCCCAATAAATCCACTAGGAACCAGATTTTGGTTTAGAGCACTGGAAGATTCAATAGTGCAACGTGCACCCAACAGAGGAGACGTGGGTTTGGATTGGGAGCAACCTCAGGGACCTCAGTCACAAGGACAGACATCCTACAAACACACATTTATTGGAATAGGACACTCCTCATGCAGAGTGCTGCTGTTGAATTCTTGAGTGTTTTTCTTTCAGAGGCAGTGTGCTGTCTCTTAATCCAACAAGACATCAAATTAGGACTCCTGGGTTCTGTTTCTGGCCTGCCACTCACCCATGATAAGATACAGGGCAAGTAATTTAACAAGCTTTAGATTACAGAGTTTAAATATTGCACTGGGGCGTAGTGAGACTGATGGGAAGTGCTGTAATGGTATCATTAAAGTGTTTTCTGACTGCAGAAGAAGCTGGGAGGACCATGACCTACAAGTCCTGATGGACAGAGGAGTCTTGGGGAAAATTGTGGCTGGGATTGTGTCACTGAAGGCACAGGAATAGCAAGAATGGAAAAATGGGATCAGGCATGTGCTGCTCAGTCTTGTCTGCACTTGGACTGCCTGGTGTGTGTGGAAGGGTGGGGGATGAAGAGTGTTTGGGGAGATGGGAAGGTAACAGTGGCAATTTTGTAATTCCAGGTCTGGCTTCTGACCTAACAACAGGAACATCTGACAGTCAGTAGGAATTTTGGCACAAGCTCTGCTCACTTTCAACCTAGTATAAGCTGGTGTGGTCCAAAAAGCAGTGCCCTTTTATACCATCCCAGGGCCTGCCCAAATCTGGACATTTTTTCTTCCTAAATCCAGGCTCTTACACTCTTTAATTTACAGTTGTTTTCATCCCACAGCAGCACTGCATTTTGAGGAAGCCCCTGCTCTCAGCTCACACAGGTTACTGTTCCACTTCTCAACAGCACTTAGGTCTCCAGAGCTTGCTTGTTTTATTGACAAAGACACAGGTATTACACAGGAGCAGAGAAAGATTCCAGCTCACAAATCAAACCAGATAATTGAAATCACAGACTGTGCCTTAAAATCAGCCCAGTGCATGCCTGAACAGGATTCATATCTCTGTGGGAACTAACCATCCTTTCTCTTTTTCTTCATGTTTTTCCCTCTGCTGCTGTTTCCTTTGGAAGGTGATCTTCAGTAAATACTGCAATTCCAAAGACATTATGGACCTTTGCTGCATTGCAACAGGGCTACCGAGGTGGGTCTATCATTTGTGACATTCATTTCACTTTTGTTTCTTTCCTTTGGGAGCAATTTAAAGACAGGCCCCAAATGATTTATTTAGCTGCTATTCAGGCTTGTCTCTTGTTGCAGTCAGCTGGAAGAAGAAACTGGGGCAATCAAGAGCTGGAAAATGTGGAGGCAGGGAATTGAGCCACCTCGGTGTTGGCTGCACATGAGGAACAGAGTGGAATGGAGTAGAACAGAGGAGAAATAGTCTAAAATAAAAGCAATTGAAGAAAAACAGGCCTGAGTACACACAGGTTGGGCACAACTACCACTTATATCTCTGTGATACATTTCTGCCCATATTGCGTGAAATGCAGGCACTTGTTTAGAACCTCATTTTTAGGGAAAAAACTGGGGCTAACAAGAAGTATTGCCACCAGGTAATGAGCTTTCTCTTTGGGTGTTTTAAAATCTAATCCCAGCTATGGGATAGTCAAACACAAAGCACTCCAGCTGAACCATTTTATAGAGCATAAATATCTCCAAATCCATTGCCCAGGCCACACATTTCCTAATTTATGTTGTCTCACAAAGTCCCTGTATCCCTCCTGCTGTGATTTTCCATTTAGGGAAAATCCAAATAGGATTTGTTCCCTTCAACCTCAAGAGCAGTATCCAGCTGAAACTTCAGTGCTGAGAGGGGTCCAGGGTCACAGGAGGGTGTGTGGGAAAGACTGGGATGTGGTGGATGGTGTAACATCCATCCATCCATCCATCCATCCATCCATCCATCCATCCATCCATCCATCCATCCATCCATCCATCCATCCATCTCTGGAAACCCAGGGCACTGGGAATATTCCTCTGTCTGCTCTGGGGTGCCCTGACCCCCAGGGAGCACTGACTCTGACCCTCATTCATGGAGAAAGTTTCCTAAACTTCAAGATAGACTGAAATCCACAAAAGTGTGAAATAGATTATAGAGAGCAGTGTAGGTGCATCACTTGGTGAGAAATTGAGGTTTTGGGATTTTTAGTATGTTGTGGATGGAAGCAAGATGGAGGGCACAGGGTGTTGTCCTGGGTTTCTTCTTCATGCTTCTTCTTCCTCCTTCTCCATGGGTTTGGGTGGCATTTTGTAATTGGGTGGAAAAGTCCCCATTGCAGCTCTTTGGGATCAGTTATTGGGTTAAAAGGGAAAATAATCCAGGTGTCAGTTCTTCATTGGATAGTTCAGTCTTAAAAGACCTTGTACCAAGAGATTGTTGCCATTTTGTGCCTTCTAATGAAAAGCTGCAGAACTCACAGTAGTGAGACTGTTTTACTGATAAGAAATAATAAACACCTGAGTGTGAACATGAAACACCATCTCAAGTGCCTTCAATCCAGACCTAGAGAAACCCACAAATGGGACCACCACAATCATCCATCCACCCGTCCGTCCATCCATCCACCCGTCCATCCATCCTTCCATCCATCCATCCATCCATCCATCCATCCATCCATCCATCCATCCATCCATCCATCCATCCATCCATCCAACACTTCCAGGCAGTGGAGCAGGGGAGGGAAGCCCCTCAATCATCTCTAGATCCCTTAATCACCTCCAGAAGGGGGAATCTTCTGTCTCAATAAGGATCTGGAGCAGCACAGGCTGGAAGCAACAAGGCAAAGTCTTTATCTCTGGACACACAACTTTACTGTACAGGAAAAGTGCAGGAGAAAAATAAGCCAGTCTTCTAATCATGGTTTTATTGCATGACTCCAGCTCTGAGGATTGAAAGATAAAATTGAATTTGCATAAGCTGCTGGACAGAATTAATGCCCTTTGCTGTTTGTTCTATTTCCTCCTATTTGACATTAGAGAGGTTAATAACTCTCATTTTCCTGTGATGTCAAAGACTTCCACTCCATCACCCAGGAAACTTTGTTCAGCAGTTTTAATCATGCACATTCACTGCATATTTGGTATTTTATTTTCATCAGAAGATTTTCAAAGGAAAATTGCATTTCAACCAGGATCCTGGAGCCAAAGTAAACCTCCAAGGTTTACATCTGAGCCTATGAGATCACCCTCAGCACAGTAATTAAAAAAGAAAAAGACCCCATATTCAGCAAGATATTTGTTTTGTTTGTTTTGGTAAATGAGTAACTAAATAACTTCAAGACATTCATAGCACCAAAAGTCATTTCTATGGTATGAGTCAATACGTAGCTGCTGAGTCAATCTATCACAAAATACATCTTTTTAACAGAAATTATTATTCAGTGAGTCAAGAGAATAAATGAATTAGCAGGGAGCTAGGTCTGCTCTGAGATCAAAAATTATCACCCTTCACATTTTACATGGCTGAAGCATCAAGCCTGCTCTGCCCTGGGCTTTGACTCTTTCTGCTCTGAGGTAACAGAGGTGCCAGGAGCAAGGAGAAAAGAAGCATCTACAGGAGGGAAGATGGCTCTGCATCCCATGCAGCAGTACAGAATTCCAGCTGGCATTTCCAGGCCACATAACCCTCTTTGGAACTTGCTTTCCAGGAACACCACCATCTCCCTTCTGACAGCAGACAACTGCATGGTGTCCATTGACCCCACGATGCCTGCAAACACTGAGAGGTGAGCCCTGCTGCCACCTGCTCCTCCAGGACAGGCTCAGCCCCAAGGCAAGGGAGGGGCTGCCTGCAGAAGGTTTTTGTGTGCACTGGGAGGTGAGCAGAGGGAGGGGATGGCAGAAGGAATGTGTGCTGCCCTGTAGCGCGAGTGATGGTTGGGAAGATTTTTGGTTTTTCACAAAACTTTTACTTGTTAAAGCAGCAGTAATTGTCTTAGAGGGAAAAAAATACTGCTTTTAGGTGTTTAGTGTAGAACATCTGTTCCCATCCCTCTCTGTTTGCTGTCAAAGCTCTGTTGTACCCCACTCCTGATTGCTCTGCTAGGGCACAACCAGCAGATTACTGGAAAAGCAAACTCAAAGCCTGTGAAGAGTGATGAGTTCAGGTCTCTTCATTGCTGGCTTTGGCCCATATTTCACGATGACTTTTCAATGCCTTTATTGATACTGTGTGGTGCAGCCCCAGCAGCTGGGAGGGAGCTCCTGCACAGGACAGTGCCCAAACACAGGGCAAAAAGAGGTTGTGGCTGTCACACCCCTGGGTGTGTCCAAAGCCAGGCTGGACAGGGTTCTGAGCAGCCTGGGATGCTGGAGGGTGTCCCTGGCCATGGCAAGGGGCTGGGACTGGAGGATTTTTAAAGTCCCTTCCAACCCAAGTTCTATGGTTCAATGATTCTGTTTCTAAATCAGAGAATCTAATCATTCTGTTTCTAAATTCCCTGTAAATCAGAGGGTTGTGTGTTCAGAAAAAATGCCCATTGCTTACTCAAACTCACAGGTTTTAAGAGAGCTTGGAATATCTTCAGATAGTTCTTTGTACTTCTCAGGGAGCACAGATGTGCAATACAAACTGCATTTTGAGTGTTGCTAACATCAACCCTCTGTGGCTCTTCCAGGTCTCCATACAAAGTGATACCAGTTATGACTGAGCAGCTCTCAGGTAAAATGACCCTTTTGAGCTGAATTAAGTAAAGCTGAATTTGCAAACATTTGCATGTGGAAATTACCTGGCCATGAGGCAAAAACCCGAAGATGTCAGTGGCATGGTTGTAGCTGCAGCAGAATAAGAAGTGTTTGATCAGTGTTCTGCAGGAAAGCTGAAAAAATGCACCTGAATTTCAATGAATTTGAGGATCAGGTGAATGGCTGAGTGCAGGGAGCTTTGCCTTGCTCTGGTCTGACTCAGCACTCCTGATGCCCTGGGGAAAGCCTTGCATGGAGCAGAGGGGGTTTTTCAGGCAAGAAAAATGAAAGTCTGTTCTCCAATGTTTTGTTAAACCTGCCCATTCCTCTGCTGGAAAGCTGAGCACAACATTTGAGCCTCATGTTATTTCCAAATGACTGAGGAGAGAACATAATTTCTGTTGTGGGCAATGGTAGCACTAAGTGTGATAAATATTTAAATTCACCTGACAAGATTAAAGAGGGCCTGGGTGAAAGAACACATCTGGAGCACATTCCCCAGCCCCAGGCAGGGCTGGAGTGCCTCCTCTCCCACTTCTCTTTGCTGTTCAGTACCACACTGGAGCAGAACTTTGGCTTGGGGCAATTCCTGTGAGCATCTGGCTCGTGGTTTCTCTCATCTGTGCAGCTGCAGAGTCTCCTGCCACTCACATCAGGGCACTCTGGAGCCACAGGGAGAGGCTGGCAGGGCTGCAGCAGGAGAGGGGACATCAGCTGGGGACACTCCTTGGAGCAGTCAAGGGGGAAGATAGGAGAGACAAAGGGCAAGAGGCTGTGACTGTCCTGGAAACACAGAACAGGAGTGAGACAGAAAGCCTGGGGCTGGAAAAAGTGCTGTGCAGGAGTGGGTGAGTTTGTTGGGACAGGAGAGATGATGTTTTGGTGCTCCTACCTCATCTTCTGGCTTAGGGTTCTGAATTATGGATGGAAACAGAGTGTCTGACAGCACCGTGCCTTCTAGAAGGGGAGGCACAGGGGACTGAGGCTGCTCCCTGAGGCATCTGCCTTGGCAGAAACATCTGGAAAGGAGGATGTGGGGAGGACACAGAGGCAACAGCAGGGAGATTGTGCAGGGAGCAAAGGTGAACAGAGAGTACAGAGGGTAGGGAACAGGGAAGAGCCACAGTGAGATTTGTGAGAAGCCATAAACAAATCCCGTGCCGGTGATTGCCAGGAGGAGGGAGTCACAGCCAGGGACATGTGTGACTGCACAGGGGAAGGAGCTGTCTGCCAAAGTGCTTCCTTATTGTGACAAACCCTGCTGCTGCAGCAGCAGCATCACCCTCCTGGCCTGGGAGCACCCAGTTTGCATTATCACAGGAGAAAAGGTGGGGACACACGTGGCTCTGTGTCCCTGCTGCTGTGAGTAACCAACGGCCCCATGGCAGAGAAATGGGGCCAGCAGGGAATGCCACTGAGTTATACCAGCTGGGAAGCTGATTGAGAGGGGCTTTCTCGAATATACACTCCTTTTTGAATGTATTTTTGTTATTCCCCTAACATGAAGCTAGCAGTATATTTTTACAGGAGCGTGGATGACTTTTCACACTCTCCCAAGGCACTCATTTTTCATCCCCAGCTGACAGCACATGGCTCTGCTTTGTGCAGAGCACAGCTCACTGTGTCAGCAAGATCTCTCTTCACTCCCTGCATTTCATAAAACAAGGATTTCCAAAGATCCCAGCTGAAAAGGGCAAGAAAAATTCTGGCCATAGATTGTCAAAACACAAGACAGAGTCTGCTGTGGAAAGAGGAAGAAAGTTGAGCTGAGTGTGATGGAACTAATGTTCCTTGGTATCTTTTTCTCTTTCACATGGCTTGTCATTAATCTTAAGCATTCCTGACATTTTGCTGACAGTAGGAAGAATAAACAGAGTGGGAAATTGTTCCTTTTCATTAAAAGAAAAAAAAAAAAAAAAAACCCAGCTCTGTTCTTTTCTTCACTTCTCACACAACTCTGCCTGCATCACTCTGCCTCCCAAAGCAGCTCATCCAAAAGGGGGGTCACCCCAATTTTCACAGTGGTGGGAGGTAATGCACCTCTTCCAGCAGTCTCCCAGGCAGCTGCAGGAGAATGACACAGGGAACAGAGGCTGTAAAAGGTGGGACTGGGAAATATAATCCTTAGGGAGGAAAAACATAAGCAGTGGCTGCTATCCAGCAGAGGAGATATCCACTGGAGTCCTGCTAAGGAACAGTTCTTCATTTCCTGGCCACAGCCATGGGAGAGGGCTGGAAATGAAAGCATTATTATTGCAGAGAGTGTGGGATGCAGCAGCCATGGATGTGCCAGGGGTCAGCTGTCTGCAAGTGCTGGGAGTAGGGTGAGGGTCAGGATCAGGATCAGGATCAGGATCAGGGTTAGGGTTAGGGGAGGCCTGAGCTGGCTGGCTCTGAGCCTGTGAAGCTGCTGGATCACACCCTGTCCCTCCTCCTATGGCCTTGGAGCAGAAGATTCATGGCTATCCATGCAGAGCATCAAAACCCCTGTGGCAAACCCTTTTCTCTGTGGTATTTTAATTTCCAAGCCCATTGAATGAGCATCCTCTCCCTCCCCCCAGCAGAAGGGCTCTGGTCTGTGTCCCCCTGGTGGAACTGGCTCACAGCTCACAAATTGATGGCTGTGTTGTTGCTCTAATTAGTGGGGTTCAGGCACTTCTAGATTTGACAGGGGTGACAATTAAATGAACAAACCCTATTAGCAGCACCCTCTTGAGGGATAAAATTGAAATCTGCTGCGTTTCTGATAGTGCAGAGAAAAGGAGCTGTTGTGGAGTCAAAAGTGGTCCTGACAGGACAGGAAAACATTCTCAGGGAATTTCCTACTGCTCCAGAGTTAGGGCAGCAAAGCCCAGCAGTGGCTGCACTGGGATGATTTTCCCCCTGGATGATTCAGTACCTGAGATCTTGTGTGGTTTGGTATTGGTAAAATGACAGAAACTTGCCACTTTGTCTAAATCTTCTTATTCTGGCATCTCTCTCTTCTCCTTTTGGAGTCTTGCTCATGCTCTCAGCTCAGGCAAGACTGAGGAGGCAGAGACTGGGAGAGAAAAATCCTCCTCCCACTGCTGCTCCATGCATTGGGATGTGGCCAATCCTTTAGGATTGCTCACCTGATGGGGAATTTGCATGCAACAGCCCAAATTAACCTGAGCTGTGAATTACATGAATCTGGGGCTCCATGTGACAGATTCATGGATGTGGGCTTAAAATTCACCCCTTCCCAAGGCTTTTGTCCACCTGGCTGCTTATGGGGTTATTTTAATTCCTCTGAATTAAAACAGAGCAAACCACAGAAAGTGAGATGCAGACAGAAGCCTGAGCCAGAAGCAGAAGCATTTGTGAGAAACAGGGCAGGAATTCACCAGCCTGATGCTGGCGAGGAAAGGGAGATGCCCGTGCCCTCCCAGCCTTGCTTGGCCAAAGCAGAAAAACCAGGGGGAATCCAAGCCACCCCCCCAGCCCCAGGGACTCCCTGCCCACAGCCTGTTGAGGCTGGCAGGGTGGCAGAGGCTGGCAGGGTGGCAGAGGGAGCCACCAGAGCGGGAGGATGGAGGCTCTCGCTGGCCGTGATCCCAGAGGGTGAGAGGGCACAGGAAGAGGTTCTGTGAGCAGGGTGGTGGAGGCAGAGGGTGCCTGCCAGTGGGTAATAAACCATCTGTGCCAGGACAGCTCACCTGAGCTGCTCAGCGTGGCCCTGGTGCCAGGCTGGCAGGGAATTCGGGCTCTCCCTGCCAGCCTCCCCCCGGCCGCGGCGGGGGCGCAGGAAAAACGCTGCTGCCAAATTCCCCCACACCTGCCTTCCTCCCAGAACCTGCTGGGCACCAGGCACAGCAGCTCCTCTCTCCACTGTGTCCTGGCCAAGCTCCCTGCTGAGCTTGGCAGAGGCCATAGGGCAAAGAGCAGGAGTGGCTGTGCCCAGCAGGGCACAGAGCCCTGGGCAGCCTGGGGGAGCCTCAGCTCTGCCCAGCATTAACCACTGCAGCATCCTCTGGGGGGTTCTGGCTGTCATTTGTCAGCTGCAAATCAGCCAGGGTGCTGTGCAAAAACCTGACTTGCTGAGCACCTGCATCTCTAAATATTGCTCGTTTGAAATGAGGGGAGAAGAAAGGGGAATTTTTTTGGGGTTGCTGCAACAGGACCCTCAGTAAAGCACCCAGAGCTGCTGCCAGTGCTGCTTGCAGCAGGATTTCCTTTTCAGAGAGGGAATTGCAGCAAAACAAAGGAAGCAATCCGAGGGAAAAGGTGTCTGTGTGAACCTGGGGCTTCAGCCCTGCCCAGAGATATAAAAAAGTAAGGCAGAGGGTAATGAAGGGAGCAAAAGTACACCTGGCCCTCCTATTTTACAAAGGAGGGGACAAACAAGACTAAATTATGTCAGAACAGTGTCTTGTTTTCTTCAGAACCCAGGGTTACCAGAGGTCTTCCCCTCAGAAAGGAGCAGGGCAGAGAAATGGATCTTTGTCTCTTTAAGATGAGGCGAGCTGCCACTCTTAGTCATATATCTTTACTGCACCCTAGGGTTATAAAAACATACATCTTCATTTTGAAAGTCTTTTATTACATCCATAAACATCAGATTGCAGCTGACTGTTCCCTGGATGGGAATTTCTTAGTACTCCAGTGAGTTTTGACAGGGGGAGGGAGTGAAAGTAAGATTGTTGGGGTTTGGTTTTTTTGGTTTTTTTTTTTTTTTTTTTTTTTTTTTCTGGAACAGTGTTTATAGGGAACTTGTCAGTCTCTGGCACGCTCCAGCCACTGTCAGAGGGCTGAGCAGCATCGAAGGGAGAGGACAGGGGTTTCTCTGCTTTCCCTGCTTGTTTTCCCTGTTGGACTCTGTGCCATCCCAGGTGCTGCCCACGGTAAGTTTTCCTCCTCTCTTAAACAGGACGCGGCGTTTGCTTTGTTTCAGCGCTTGGGTTTTGTGAGAAAACTGGAAAATGGGTCTCTGTGAGAAGAAGCAATTTCTGTTTTCTCTGCTAGCCACTCTGCTGGGAGCTGGAGGGGAGGGAAAAAGGGGGAAAAAAGAGGGAATTAGATCTGAGACTTTCAGAGCACAGAATGCTTGCTCCAGTTTCGAGGGGTAACAGGCAAATTGTTTTGACCGGTGATGTGAATGCTCTTGACTGCTGATGTCTCTAATACCTGAGGAACTGCAAATCCTTTCAACAGGTACAAGAGCTGTTAGTTAGAAATAAATGGTAAATGCTGGGCTCTATTTCCATCCCATGTGTTTTGCCTGGGTGATTGCGCTTGTGAGGTTTTGTGTTCCCTCGGGGAAGGACAAGAACTATCTGCAGAAATGCCATGGGGTGTTTCTGTGTGGGTATAAATAGGTGTTCTGAGATCTGCAGCATGTTTCTAGTGCACTCAGTGCTTCCTTTCCTTGAGCATTCCTGCATTTCCAGTACAGGAATCACTGCAGCACTTTGGGGCAGTCGGCATTAGCTGCTGGGGCAAAGAGGGAATAGTCCCAAAACAGCATCTCAGGGCTCAGCAAAGGTGATTTGGGCTTCCCCTTTCTCTGTGGACATGCTAAAAGATGGGAAAACGTTGCTATCATGCTTCTTCCTTCCTAAAGTGTGCTGTCCCTTGAAATCTAGGGTCCTGCTTTGAGAGATTGTTTGCTTTTCCTTGTGTTGAGAATTGCAATCCTGTGATTTTCTTGGGAAGAGGCTGGGGCTTCATCAGGCTGACTTTCCCGAGCCAGCAGAAGATCCTGAGAGCCCACGAGGGCTCCCAGCGTGGAGGAACTCAGGGAACAATGGGATCTTGACAGGATCCCTGTGGCAGCTCCATCCAGGCTGTGTTCTCAAGGGAAAAGGGGCTGGGAAAGTTGTACCCTGCTGTGCCCATCCCACAAACCAGGAAGGGCAGAGCTCATTCTGCAGGGACAGCACTTTGTCATCTCGTGTTTGTCTGGAGTTTATGCAAGGCAGCACAATCCTCAGGCATTTGCACCAGGAAAAAAAAAATAAATGGTCTCCAGGATAAGACTGAAAGGCAGGCTGGGTTTTATTTAGTGTTCATGGGCTGTGGGGTTGTTCATGGGCTGTGGGGCTGTTCATGGGCTGTGGGGCTGTTCCTGAGCTGTGGGGTTGTTCATGGTCTATGGGATTGTTCATGAGCTGTGGGGTTGTTCATGGGCTGTGGGGTTGTTCATGGGATTGTTCCTGAGCTGTGGGGTTGTTTATGGTCTATGGGATTGTTCATGGGCTGTGGGGCTGTTCCTGAGCTGTGGGGCTGTTCATGGACTGTGGGGCTGTTCATGGGATTGTTCATGAGCTGTGGGGCTGTTCATGAGCTGTGGGGTTGTTCATGGTCTATGGGATTGTTCATGAGCTGTGGGCTTGTTCATGAGCTGTGAGGCTGTTCATGGGGCTGTTCATGAGCTGTGGGGCTGTTCCTGAGCTTTGGGGTCGTTCATGGTCTATGGGGTTGTTCATGGTCTATGGGGTTGTTCATGGGCACTCTGTCACAGGGTGCTGGTGGTGTGAGAGACACCGACTGTGAGCAGGAAATTTCAAAAGCCAGTTGGGATTCTTGGTGTCCCACCCAAGGTCTGTGAAAGGGTCTCCTCTCCAGAAGGTGCTGCCCTAAAACAAGCCACCTCTCAGAGACCCAGCCTCCCAAAAATAAAACCCTGGCTGTAATCTGCAGGGAAAGCAGGTAAGACAAGGAGTCTTTCCCAAACCCTGTCACTCTTCAAAGCACCTAAACAATTTTTTGGCCTCACCATCAGAACTGGAAGCCTGGGGACACCACTTTGCAGAAGGGCTGAGGGTGTCTTCTTTCCTTTCTTTTTTTTTTTTTTTCCTATCATGTCTTCCTACTATTTTTTTTTTTTTTCAGAGAAAGAAGAATTGTTCCAGAATTTATTGGGACAGATTGCTGAGCAGTTCTCGAGGTAAGAAACTGAACATCATTATTAATTTAAAATGCTATTTCTTTTATCAGCCTGAAGTGAAATTTTCACAGGAGGCAGAGGGGCATTTAAGACATCTTTCAAATCCCACTCTGCCTGCCAAATTTAGGTCTGGGACACATTATTTCCTGCTGACAGCAATACAGTAGCTCAAACCAAAAGCAATTTCAGTGATTATCTTTGATCTAAAAAGGAGATCACACAGTAAACGCTCCTTCCCTCTCAGGAAGCAAAAGAAACGCTGCTTCGTTGAGCAGTCAAATCATCAGATTTGTTTCATTTTCCCCTTTATCACCCAAAAATGTCTCTCCTCAGAGAGGATTTCTCAACATCTGTGTAGCTGCTTATTTAATCCCAGCTGGTTTCAATAAGGCAGATCAGTCCCACCACAGCCCAGAAATCAGCAGCGTAACGCGGCAGGAGGGGAGGAGGAGGTTTCAGAGTCTGCAGACACCAAGACGCTGCTCTTGGACAATTGTGAATTACCAATTGAACAATTACCAACTTAGCTTTGCTTCCCTGGGGGGGTACAGTAGCAAGTCACTGCTGAGAGAGGGGCAGGTGAAGTGTTGTAGAGCCACAAGACATTCCCAGGGCCATAAAAAAAAAATAAAAATCTCCTGATAATTTTTCTGAAAATTAAACCCAGGTGTATTTTCTGCCCCAGTGTTAGCATTTCCATGGAAAATTTGCTCTTCCTTATGACAAATGTGGGCTGGGCAGATCAGTCATAGAGACACAAATATGGACATTTCTAGCAGATGCCCTTAGCACCTAGGGTAGGTAGAGCATTAAATGTATGACATTAATACATGAGGGTTTTCTTTCCAGGATTTTTAAAATCAATGAACTGAAAACGGAAGTAGCTAATCACTTGGCAATGCTGGAGAAAAAGGTTGAATGTGAGTGTCCCTTTATTCCTGTCACAGTGGGAACTGGTGCCTTGTGACCTCTGACCTGTCCTGCTCCTCCACTTTCTCCAACCCATTGTAATGTGGCCAACTCTGAGCCCCAAAGGCCGCAGGTCAGCCCGTGGGGATGGTGGGAGCACTGTGGGGACCAGGGTGGGCTGGCTGGTGCTGCCAGCATCCACAGCTCCTCCTGGCCTCCCTCTGAGGGGCTGCTGGGGCCATGTCCTGCTGTTCCCATGTCCCTGTGGCAGAGGGGTCTCCACCACCCCCCTCCCCATCTCCACCTCCCGGCCCCTGGCCAGCCCTCCCCTGTCCCCCATGGCCCAGGGCTCTGTCACCCGCTGCACCCAGCAGTGACCTCCCCATCCCTCTGCACTCCCTGATCCTCTGGGGATCCTGCTCCCACCCTCACTGGGGCTTTTGGTCTGTGATTCCAGGGGGTAACACCCTCCTGCTGCTGTCAGTCCCATCCCCCAGAGAATTCACAGAATCCCCTGAATGAATTCACAGAATTCCCAGAGTCCCTGGGTTGGAAGAGACCTCCAAGATCATTGAGTCCAGCCCAGCCCCAACCCCTCAACTGAGCCCTGGCACCCAGTGCCACATCCAGGCTTTGTTAAACACACCCAGGCATGGGGACTCCACCACCTCCCTGGGCAGCCATTCCAGAACTTTATCACCATTTCTGGAAAAAAACTTCTTCCTAATATTCAGCCTGTATTTCCCTTGGTGCAGCTCGAGGCTGTGTGCTCTGGTCATTCTGGAGAAAGAGCCCAGGGCCAGCTGAGCACAGGCCCCTTTCAGGAGCTGTGCAGAGTGAGGAGGGCAGCCCTGAGTCTCCTTTGCTCCAGGATGAGCACCCCCAGCTCCCTCAGGGGTTCCTTGCACTGTAACACAACCACATTTTTACAGTGCAACAGCCAAATTCAATTCACCCGGTCAATGAGCTCCTTTCCTGGTGTTTTGGGTTGTTTTGTTTCCCCCTGTGCAGTTTCTGAGTTGTTTCAGTTCATTAGGCAGAACACAGGTCCCAGAGAGGCAGGGAAGGGTGGGAATAAGGTGCTGCCATCCAATTTTGACTTCAAACCCTGCATCCTTGAGGATGCTCAGCATTGAACTCAGGAACAGGGAGAGCCTTTCCCAGCACTACAGCTGCAGAAACAACTTTCCCACTAGAGCTGGCTGGGGAAAAAAAAAGAGTTTCTGGTTGCTGAAACTTCCCCTGACCAGAAGCTACCTTGACCCTGCAGCTGCTCAGGGAGACTGATCCCTTTGTCAGAGAGAGAGGAAGAAATATCCTCATTTGAGGAGCAGCTGCAGGGAAGCCTCTCCCTGTGCCTCCCCAGCCTCAGCTCCTGGTGCTGAGGGATGTCCATGGAGGGGGCAACCTGCAGCTTTCCTAGCCCCAGAAAGGAACCCAGGGATGAATTCCTCCCTGTCTGTTTGGCTGCTGCTTCTCCCAAGGCTCTGCTGGTTTCTTCTTTGATCCCCCCAAAAGAAAGAGAACAGAGAAATGAGCTCAGTCACTCTGCATTTTCAGTGAAACTTCTGCCCAGCTCCATTCCTCAGGGCTAAATGCCATGGGTTAGAGCACATGAGGTGAGCTGTGGGTCTTTGTATCCCCTTGGCAGCCCAAGAAAGGAACAATCCCAGCCAGCCAGGGGCTGCTTTTGGGATCCCTGGCCCAGCTCTGCCTCTCAGCACTGGCACAGGAGGGAGATAACCAAGGCATTCATGCCATTCCTGGCAGGAAAAAACTGAGCACCTGCCCACTGCAGCAGTTTATTTAGAGCTGGTGTAGGGAAGGCAGCATGCCCAGAGCCATGCAGGTGGGTGAATTCCCCAAAGGAGGGCTCTCTCCCTGGGTGGGTCCCACTGCTGATGGAACCAGCAGCTGATGGAGCAATCCTTGAGAAGGAGCTCCCTGGGCTGCCCCTCTGCTCCAAATCAGACTTCCAGGGTTTGCCACAGAGCCCATTCTGCAGCATCCTGAAATAACTCCCTGGGCTGTCTTGTTTAAGAAGCAAAACCGTGGGAGAGAGGGAGTGTCCAACCTCCCTGCTTGAGCTGGGCTCCCCGAGGTTGCTCTGAGAGCCACGTTTCACTGCTGGATTCAGCCCAAGGATTTCTTTAGACAGCACAGGGTCTTTTCAGAAGGTATTTCTCACTGCAGAACAATGTAATGGGCCCTTAATCAGTGCACATGACATGGCCATTTATCATTTGCAAGCCAAATGTGGAAAGAATTGTGCTTTTATTTTGCCTTTTCTCCTGCCTCCTTCGGAGATCCCTTTTCCATCACTTCCACATGTGCTCTCCAGGATTTCTTCCCCAGAGGGGACGTGTGTGTGTGTGTGTGTGTGGGGATGAATGCTCATGACAGCACCACATCTGCACCTCCCATGAAATGTTCTCAGCTTCCTTCCCATTCCTGCCTAGAGACCTCACCCGAGATGTGTTTGCAGGGAGCCAAATCTTTTAGCTGATTTTTAAATCCCAGCTAAAGTTTGTCAGTTCCCCTTGGAAGATAAGCCTGTGCAGAGCAAGCCCTGGGAATGCTTTGTCCCATGGCTTGACTTATTCTGCACAGCAGCCCACACAAGAACAAGGAAGCTGGCAAAAAAACCTTTGCAATTTGTCAGCACTTCACATCTACCTTTAGAAAACAATTATGTAAAATTCTCTGCTCCCCCAGAGAGATTTGGGACGAAAATCAAAGAGATGCAACAGGAAAAAAATGCTCAGGGCTGCCCATTTTGCACCAGAACTGCTCCTCTCCCTGCAGTTGCCTGTCCCACCTCCCTGTCACTGATAACTCTGTTTAGCTCCCACTGCCTCAAATAAGCACTGGCCACCAATTAGACACTTGGCAAATGGAATTTCTCCCAGGTGAATGCACCAGTGGGGTACAGAGCAGCACAGGGCCTGCAGGTCAGCTAGAGTTGACCATCAGCAATTGAACAAAGCAGCAAAAAAAGTGCAGGTATCCAGAACTAAGATATCCAATGAGCAGGACAGCAGCTTGCCTGCACCACCACGTTGTGATCACCCAAAGAAATTGCCTGCAACAATGCCAGACGAAAAAATATAAATGCCTAAATGGGATTTTTAAGAGAGCATCCCTGTAAACAAAAATAAACTAACCCCCTTTCCTTTTCCTCTCTTAATATGTGGCATTCTGGGCTTAGTTCAGACACATCTCTTTCCCTTTTCCCAGTTCCAGCTGCAATCTTTGTTGTTACTCTCCTAAAGGTAAACAAAACTGAGGTCTCTGCTTATCTCCAGAGCTGTGCCCTTCAAGGCAGGGTTTTATCACTTGCTCTCCAGATAAGTGAGATCCAGACTGTGATTTTCTAAGAAAGTTGCTGAATACCGATGCTGCTCCATGCAAACAAGGAGTTCAGCGAACAAATGAGCTGTGAAATGATCGCACGTGAATGACCTGCAGTAATAAATGGGGCTGTGTCCTTGATCACACTGACAGTTCAGCGAGGGGGAAAGAAAAGGGAGAGTTATTCTCACACTCTCATTGCACTGGGCTCTCTCAGCTATGGGGAATAAAGTGCCCTGCTGCATAAAAAGGCAATCAAACTTTTTGCCTCGTGGCTCTCACAATAACATGCAGAAGGGAAATATAGGATTTTCTGTGCTGCATGTAGAAATAACCTTTGATTACAGAATCGATTGGCAAAAAGAAGTGACAGGATTTCAATAGTTTAAAAAAAAAAAAAAAGAAAAAAAAATCTATCATCAGAGCCGAATTTTCAACATTTGTCTCTCCCCCTTGCATTCTCCCTTTGGTTTTTCTGTATCCAGCAATGCCTCTCAGATCTCCTTAATGCTCTGCATGAACTTCCGAATTAAAACCTTTTATCTTAATGGGAATTCTAATCCTACCGGGACGCGTTTGCATGGCCCTGCTTATCATCCCATCAGGGGAGTGGGGCTTTTTCCTGCTCAGGATTTCCTCTGATTCCTGCTCTGCAGCCCAGGAGTGAAGGCACCAGAGGAGCTGCCTGCTGCCGTGCAGAAGCTGAGATGTTTTAGCCATCGAGTGAATTAAAGCTCTGGGGCTGTTATCTGCACTGACAGCAGAGAATCCCTGGGGGTTTCCAAGGTCTCCTCTGGCTTTGGCAGTGCCTCTCACCTGTGGGAGAGCCCAGCAGCCTGTGGGAGCTGGATAACCCCACTGGCAGAGCTCCCTGAAGTTTTGCACCATGGTGGAACCAGACCCCGCGACTTCTGGCCATGGTAACAGCCCTGTTGTTTCCCTCTGTTGACAGTGGAAGGCCTGAAGGTGGTGGAGATTGAGAAATGCAAGCGTGACATTAAAAAGATGAGGGAGGAAATGGCAGCAAGGAGCAGCAGGTAAGTTCTGCTTGGCACCCAACCACAGGAGTGTCTGGTTTCAAACCCTGATGCAACATTTCCACAGAATTATCTCCTGGGCTTAGAAGTAAAAGAGCAAGGAAACCAATAACCATCAAGGACAGAGGCTTTATTTTACCATTTGAAGATTTATAGCCATTCACCAGTTAATTTAGCTTGGGCCATGGGAATGGAGAAAAAGGTCCTGGGAATTATTTGTCACCATACAGAATGGGAATTCTTCATCCAGATTTACTGGGAGAGAGAGAGAGAGAATGGGAAAAGAACTTCTGCACACTGCAGCCTTTGGTTGGGAACCAGTTAGCACTCAAATCAGCTCCAATATATTCTGGGAGATTACCAAATAAATATGTAGCAGCTCCTCTAATTATGATCTCATGCTATTATAAATCACCCGTTTCAAATTCAACGAGAAATTGAGAATTTGCATTCTAATGCAAGGGCTCATTGTGATGGTGGAGCTGGGTTTTGCTGTAATTAAAACAGCAGCAGAAAAAATTGCATTTCCTACGGTGCGTGGTCTCAGCTGGAAAACGCCCCCTGTGCCACTGAAGTGCCCCACTAGGACAAACAAATCACTCTGAGATTGGGAATGCTCCTGGGAAAGATGCTGGGGAGGAATATACCCTGCTGCTGAAAATGGGGGTGAAGGGGATTTTTCTAGAGAGGAATATACCCTGCTGCTCAAAATGGGGGTGAAGGGGATTTCTCTGGAGAGGAATATACCCTGCTGCTCAAAATGGGGGTGAAGGGGATTTTATGGAGAGGAATATACCCTGCAGCTCAAAATGGGGGTGAAGGGGATTTTTCTCAGCAAATGTAACTTTGCTGTCTTAACAGCCTCGGGGTCAAATTGTCTGACCCTTAATCAAAACTGTTTCCTACTGAGGGCAGTGGGAAATGTGCTAAAAGATTCAAGCTTTATAGTCACTCTTTTTTATAAATGTTGCCAAGCAGTTATGTCAGGAGGCACAATGATAATTCATTCCCATGAAGTCCAAGGCCAAATTCAGCTGTCATATTAGCATAAAAGCAGAGTAACATTATTAACCTCAGATTTGTGTGCCTCAGATTTATCCCAGCAGGGTGGAATGCAGTCTGCCCTGTGACTTGCATCATTTCTTTTTGGGGTGTGTGGAGAAATCTCATTAAAAAAATCCGAGCCCAGGCTGGCAGCCAATGCAGGAGCATGTGTGCTGGTTTGTGCTGGGTGTGATGTGAGAAACGTGTGTGCCCATGTGTCTTTGCCTCAGCTGTGGCAGGGAGCTGGCAGAGCTGAACTGTGATGCACAGTGATGAAGATGAGCAGTGATGCACAGGTGGACAGGGAATGAGGTCCAAAAAAAGAAGTGATGGCAAGTTCATGTTCACTCCATCACCACCACAGCACATCAGGGAGTACGAGACTGTCCCAGCAGCCATGACTAATTCCCATCCCAGATCCTGTCACCCTCCAATCTCTACTTTGTGGTCCAAACAGCAACCTGCGAACAAGAAAAGCTGGGTTGGGGGGTGTTCCATCTGCTCAGTGCAGCCAGCTCCAGCTGGGGTGTCACCTCCACCAAGGGCTGGTAGTGAGCTGTGACAGGCTCCAAAAGGAGGGACCAGCACGGGGTGTGAGGCTGGAGAGCTGTGCTAAAGGTGGGAGTGGGCTCAGCTGGGCACAGACACCCACCCTGGCTTGCTCTGGGCTCACACTCACAGCTGCTCTCTCTGGAGCAGGAGCAGGGCTTGCTCTGCTCAGCATCACCTTGGTGCTGTGTCCACGTGGCTCTGCCACAGCTCCTCCTGGTTACCCTGAGCTGCCTCTCCCTCCTCCCAGCTGCTCAAAGGCTCCTCCTGCTCATGCAGAATTCTGCACCCTGTGGGTGTGGGAGCCAAAGCAGCAGCTGGACGTGGGTACAAGACTGAGGAGATGATGATGCTCCTTGGTGGCTCCCATCAGGAGCTGCTGAGGAATGAGCTGAGGTTCCTCATTCCCAAGCCACCAGAGCCCCAGGTCACCCCAGCCCAGGGTGGCTGAGCAAACCCTCTCCTGCTGGCATGGGATGTGTGTGGGAACAGAGGCATCCCAGGGAAGTGGAAATGTTATTTGCTCTCATTTAGACCTGTCATCCCTTGTGCTGGATAATGCATTGTGGTTGCCATTGGGGATCCCATCTAAATTTAATTGATGTACATAAATATTTGTGAGTGCCTGTATTCCTTCAGTAAGATCACAGTGTACACAGCTGTATGGGTGTTTATCTTTTCTTATATTTGCTGTTACATTACCAAATGAGAGGGTAAGGCGGGGCAGGCAGGTTTATAAAAGCTCAGTGAATTGTGCAGCTCTCTGTTCAGAAGAGCAAAGCAGCTCCATTTGCATCCTCCTCAAATTGCCTTTTTTTTTTTTTTTTTGCTTGTCTGCTTTTTGCACTCACCATTGGCAGATGCTATAGCATTATGGTGTCATTTAAAATCATGATCATTTGCAGATCCAGTCTTGCATTTGTGAAGGTCTGATGCATCCTGGCTCTGGTGTGTTCCCCAGTGTGCTGGGATGAAGGCTTCAATATCCTACTACAGCTGGGAATTAGAGATAGCTGGCTGACCCTCAGCTGACCCTGGCAGTCAGCTCCAATTAGGGCAAGGAGTGCCCCAATCTCACTGTTTTTATCCTACTAATACCCCACACAGTGGAGTTCTGAGGAAAGGGCTTTAGAAGTGATTAAGACAGCTTTTCATCAAGTGAGAATCTCCTTACACAGGGCAGGAAAGGCAGCTGGTCGATGTCAGCTGACCACCATGAGCTGTGAAATGACATAACTTTCACAGGATTCTGACACAGCCACCAGAAATGACAGCAGACATCAATGTTAAGAGGAGAAAAGAGACCTGGACTAATTCCCAACAGAGAAGAGAATCACTCAAAAGAGATACAATGCAAAATGTAATAATCAAAAATGCACAAACCAAGTTAATGGAATGCTTTGCTTGGCTTCTTTTGGGAGGTTTATTTCTGCTTCCTTTGGCAGGAGGCTTGAAAACTGAGAGAGGATAATCCAAATGTTAGGACTCCAAGGATAAATCCCTGGCAGTGCTCAAGGCCAGATTGGAAGGGGCCCTGAGCAGCCTGACCCAGTGAGCAGCACCCCTGCCCACGGCAGGGTGGGTGGAGCTGGATGGTTTTTAAGGTCCCTTCCAACCCAAACCGTTCCATGACTCTGTAAATGCAAAATGCAGGAAGATCAGCCTCACACAAGAGTTGATAAAGTCCATGTGGACAGCGAGCTGGGAAAAGCCCTGCAAGGCCATCTTGGCCAAGCTGTGCCTGGTCCCCACCTTGTCTCCAGAGCTCTGAGTGCCACGTCCAGGCCTTTCTTGGACACTTCCAGGGATGGGGACTCCAAACCTCCCTGGACAGCTCCTTCCAATGCTTGGCCACCTTTTCAATGGAGGAATTCTCCCTGATGTCCAATCTGTCCCTCCCCTGGCACAGTTTGAGGCCATTTGGGAGAAGAGCCCAACCCTCTCCTGGCTGCAGCCTCATCAGGGAATTGCAGAGTGATGAGGTCCTCCTGGACCTCTGCTCAGATGGGAAAGCATCAGTTTGGCTTTTCCATATGCAGAGGAAAGAAGAGTTGATAACTGGCAGTGTTAACAACCAGGCAAGCGTTAATTACCTGTAATTGCTGGCAGAGGCTCCCTTTCTTCAGGATCAGGGAGCCAGGCAGAGGTGTCTGCCAAGTCTGTGCCTCTCTGCTGTTGTCCCACACGAGGGGCAGCAGCCAAGGAGGTCACAGCATCAAAGTGGAAGTTCTCATGGGCTGCAGCAAGGCTCAGTGGGTGCCCTCAGCAGTGAATCAGCACAGGTGTGCCCATAGCCAGAGTGGTCCCTGGCAGCCCTGGAGAAGGATGCCTGCCATGGACAGCAAGCTGCTCACTGGAAGTCTAAGGAGAAGTGGTTGGTTAGTGTCTTGGTTTGGAAAGACAGGAGTCTGCTAAGGAAGGCAGGAGCTTCCCTGAAATGGAAAATGTAAACCCCCCCTCCCTCCGAATTGCTATAAAATTTAAATTAACAGTCTCTCAGGCAACAAATATGGCAGCAGGAAATAACAGTTCTTTACCAGGGAAGAAAATAAAAGGATAAAATGAACAATGCAGTGAACCAAACCAACACTGCCAGAGTCAGAACACAGCCTGACACCCTGTGGGTCAGGGTGTTGGCAGCAGAACCATTGGAATTGTGGCTCAGCCCTCCTGCAGTGTCAGGGGTGGCTCTGCTGGAGCAGGGATCCTGGAGAAAGGTGCAGTCTCTGCCTCTGGAGATCCAGTGGGAGAAGAGGCAGCTGCTGCTCCTCTGGGGAATGCAGTGCAGAAGCTGTGCTGGTGTTCCAGAATCCCCAGATTATATCCAGGCAGGAATGCTTGGCTCCTCCCTCTGGGCTCACATCTCCCAGTGGGATGCTGTAGTTCTTATCAGCCATGCAGGGACATTTAGTAGCTGTTATCAGCAGATGTCCCCCCAGAGGAAGGATTGGATATGGAAGAGATAAGGAAAGCTGCCCACTTGACAAAAGACAACTGCCATCCAGATGGCAAATAGAATATGTCTTGCTTTGCAATCTGAACAGGTATCCATGGATACATGCCTGAACTCAGATGCTTCTCTCTTGTATGCAAATAGACCAAGAAAGGGCAACAGGGGTGTTGCACAAGGGGAGAAAATCCTGAGGAGGATCACACTTCCAAAGCATTTTGAACAACACTGCATTAGAAAGGGAGAGGTGTTGGAGCAGGGTGGCTCTCTGAGGGGTAGCACTGAGGCACTGTGCTTGTGTTCCCTCAATGTTAAGAGATGAATATTTCATTTCAGGACTAACTGTCCCTGCAAGTACAGCTTTTTGGATGAAAACAAGAGGCCAGCTCCCCGGAGGGATGTACCATCCTACCCAAAGGTACCACACAGTTTTCTCTTCCCATATTCCTGCTGCCATCCTGTGCTGCTTTACAACGTGTGACTCCTTAGCCATTAATTCCCTGTTTTTCTAAAGCCAGGGTCTGATCCAAAATGCCAATGGAAAAAGCCATCAGTTGCCCATGGTGACTTAAAGTTTAATTCTCAGTAGTCTTTAATACTTGAAAGCTCGTTAGTGTTTGAAATGTTAATGAACATTGTGCATTCATCAACATTTAACACTCTTTTGTCCAGTTATATTTGTTTATTCTCCATGCTCATAGCAACAATCAAAAACACCCTGTAATGCTGTGTTCTAATTGAAAGTAGTGCTGCTGCCTGTTTTCTCCTAATAGATTATTTTTTAATTTAAAAAGTAATTTGTGGGGATGCTTCACCTAGGGAAACAAAGAAAAAATGCGACATTGGATTCTCTCCAAAATGATTCATTGTCCCTGTGAAAATGAGTTAGTGTATTTGCTAGAGAAAACAGTAATGCTGGAAGAAAAATGTCTCCTGGGCAAGCACAACTACAAATCCACAGTGATGAATGAGGCTGAAACCATGAAGAGCACAGGGTCTTGAATCCCAGAACCTGCAGTCTTTGCCCACAAGAATTATTTAAAGCTGCCTGGTTATGCCTGCCCAGTGCCCAGCTCAGACCTTGACAAAACACCAGCTCACCCATTTGCAAATCATGGTTTAACCATGAGCATCTCCTCACACACACCAGAGCTGGCTCAGGTGAATCCTCACAGTCCTGTGTGATGCAGATCTATGACATGGACATGGCTCTGTGCACATTTGTCCTCAGAGCCCAAGAGAGCAACAAATTCTGCTCTTTGTTCTGCTCTGCCTCGCTAAAGTGACCTCCACTGAAGCACAGACTCTGTCACTTCTATTTCTTTTAGTTAACTTTTGCCCAGGAGGCTTGTGCTCCTGACACTAACACATGATTTCACAGAACACATCAGTTCTAAGCCAGTTTTTTTCCCTTGATAAGTATATATGTCAGATTAAACTTTGATGGACTGCTGCATTAGGATCTTGAATTAAGAATAAAGGCTACATAGAGTTGCATTGACTTACTGCAGAGTAAACTTTTGTATTTCTGCATTATTCCTAGACCAAAACTCATGGGAGTTTGGGGTTTTGGAGATTTGCAAAATTTGTTATCAGTTGTCAGGTTCTGGATTTGTCCAATGTTAGTAAGGATGAAGGAAGACGTCATCACAACACCAAATCTGTACTGCTAATTTGCAGTTTTCTTGCAGAAAGTCACACTAAATGTGCATTGTGTGTGTAAATGCAAAACTCCTTGCCTTTTGAAGAAGAAAAATTAATCTTCTGTGTTGGATTAAGTATCAATTTGATGGCTCAGAAATTGTCATTCACCTGCTCAGGAGAGTAAACCCAGACTAGAGACAGCCATGGTAAATGGGCCAATTGAAGCCACAAGAGTTTTGAGTCCCAAAACCACTGATGAATAGGATCCTGAAAAGATCAATCTGTAGAGTCCTGATATCCCCATGTCTTTTAACCCTGCACATTCCTTTTCTTTTCATTTTCTATGCAGCCATAACTGGTGAATGAGCTTGATTTTGTTTTAGGCTTTGAGCGTAATGATAAAAAATCACTTGAATCTTGCAGGCTGACAACCAATTTGAAACTGTGGGCACTCTTGAAAAAACACTTGAAATGAGAGCATAAATCATCTGAAAATAAACATATCATCCCCACCAGCTAATTTAGCACTGTAAGCAGAGACACTTCACACCACCCTCCCTAACTGGCAGCTTTGAGTGCAGCTGATGCTCTGCAGGCAGCAGAACCAGTGCAGGGATGGGTCTGTGCCCTGTGCCTTTGATTTTCTGTGCTGCATTTAGCCATGAGCCTCTCCTTAACACCTCCACTCTCCCTTTTCTCCCAAGTTCTTTTCCACAGGATCTGCCCCAATGAGCAGCTGCCAGCTGGTGGGAAGGGTGAAGAGGGTTGAGTGGCCAGAGGGAGAGAGATCATTTGCTCTCTCCTTGGGGAATGTGGCTGAATCCCTCATGAATGGAACCCTGGCAGCCCCAAGGACGTGCCAGCAGCATTCCCATGGCAGGGACACCCTTGTTTACCCTCCTGCCTTTCTGTCTGCAGTACATGCTGTCCCAGGAGACCATCGAGGCTCTGCGGAAACCAACTTTCGACGTCTGGCTGTGGGAGCCCAACGAGGTGAGGATGCCAGGTTAGCTGGGTTGGCACTTTCTGAGAGCCAGTAAGGCCAGAAGAGCCCTTTGAGGCAGTCTGCAGGGGTTTCCCCCCTTTCCTGCACCTTAGGCTCTATATTTTTTTCATTTCCATACCACACCAGAAATGCAGTGCTTCTTCCTAGCAGATGCCAGGTGGATTACGCTGCTCATCATATCCTGGCTCCTCTTTATTTACTCTTTAATCTCTTCCTTGTAAAGTCCCTCAACTGCTGCACTGTCATTACTGCCACATGAGTTCTCCCATGCCATTTTATCTGAACAAATCAATACCCAGTGAAGTGTGTGCTTAAGCACATCATCAATAACTCCACTCAGATCAATAAAGCAGCAGGGCAGAGGTGCAGGCATTGATTCACACCCTTCAGCTGAGGGTTTTCTGCAGCTTGTTCTGAAGAGGTTGCAGGGCTGCATTCAAAGCCAATTACTATCTCCTTATTGCTTCATTTTCTTCCTTTTTTACTGCTATTAGTGTTATTCATGGTTCATCACTTGTATTGCAGAAGGTTCTGGAAGGTTCTATGTGTAAACCTCCAGAAGCGTGAAGGAGAAGGATGTTAAGAGTAGACAGCTTATAATATAATGTAAAACCAGATATATATATAATATAATGTACAAAACCAGCTTATAATATAATGTAAAACCAGATATATATAATACAATGTATAAAACCAGCTTATAATATAATGTAAAACCAGATAGATGTATAAAACCAGCTTATAATATAATGTAAAACCAGATATATATAATGTAAAGTATAAACTCAGTTTATAATATAATGTAAAACCAGATTTAGCAAGGACTAGCAAATTTCACTCAAGAAAAACATAATGGAGGACAGGACTAAATCAGGAGTTTAGTGCTGGTTTTTTCCCAGGGGGAGGCTGGGGTAGCTTTGGCAGCACCCCCAGCAGCAATCACCCAAATTACTTAATTATTTTCTTCCTTTTTTAACTGCTAATTTTCTTCCCTTTTTAACTGCTATTAGTGTTATTCATGTTTCATCACTTGTATTGCAGAAGGGTCTGGAAGGTTCTATGTGTAAACCTCCAGAAGTGTGAAGGAGAAGGATATTAAGAGTAGACAGCTTATAATATAATGTAAAACCAGATATATATATAATATAATGTATAAAACCAGTTTATAATATAATGTAAAGCCAGATATATATAATATAATGTATAAAAGCAGCTTATAATATAATGTAAAACCAGATTTAGCAAGGACTAGCAAATCTCACTCAATAGAAGCATAATAGAGGACGGGACTAAATGAGGGGTTTAGTGCTGGTTTTTTTCCCAGGGAAATGCTTGGGTAGCTCTGGCAGCACCCCCAGCAGCAATCACCCAAATTACTTGATTTTCTTCCTTTTTTAACTGCTATTAGTGTTATTCATGGCTCATCATTTGTACTGCAAAAGGGTCTGGAAGGTTCTATATGCAAACCTCCAGAAGCATGGAGGAGAAGGATGTTAAGAGTGGACAGCTTATAACATGATGTAAAACCAGATATATATATAATATAATGTATAAAACCAGCTTATAATATAATGTAAAACCAGATATATATAATATAATGTATAAAACTAGCTTATAATATAATGTAAAACCAGATTTAGCAAGGACTAGCAAATCTCACTCAAGGAAAACATCTCAGCAAGCACAGCTTGGCAGCAAGCCTGCTCCTCCTTCTCAAATGCCCTCTCACTTTTCAAGCCTTACAAGAGTCCCATTTCCAAGCTTTTGCTGCTGACCAAGAAAGCTGAATATGAAAACTGAGATTCCCCTGTGTTCAGGGGAGTTTTGGGACTGAGAGTCTCCTCCTCGCTCACCCAAAGCTCTCTTGGCAACAGCTGCATTTCTAATTCAGCACTTCTGGATAAAGTTTCTTGTCTTGGAAAGTCTTTTATGGAACTGTTGCAAAACATATATTCTACCAGGACAAGGGGATTTTCAGCAAAATGCTGTCCATGTGATCTGAGCTGCATTCAGCTCATGGCATTGTCCCTCAGGTCTTGCAGGAAAGTCTCTTCCTGTTTGGATTACTCAAAATCAGCCCTGTTGTTACTCCATGATTTACATTTATATTTCCCTGGATAAATATAAGGTTTCATTAGATTAAATCTTTTTTTCTGGTGAGTTTCTAAGAGTCTAAATAACAGAAGGCTAACTAGAAATGCCTTCAGGGCTGTATTTGTGACATTATACCCCTCATGCTGAAACCCCTGGATTGCTTTACAGTCTAAAAACTGCATTTTCTAACACAATGGCCACATTCCATCCCCTGCAGATTGGCCCTTCAGAAATGGGAATGAATATACACATAAACTCCTGAACTCCAGGAAACCTGTTCATTTCTGACTGGTGGAGGCTGTTAGATTGAGATTATCAATTTTTTTTGTTTTCAATTCTTTCAGATTATCAATATCTTTTGTTTTCAATTCTTTGAGATTATCAATATCTTGAGATTATCAATATCTCTTGTTTTCAATTCTTTGAGATTATCATTATTTTTTGTTTTCAATTCTTTCAGATTATCAATATCTTGAGATTATCAATATCTTTTGATTTCAATTCTTTGAGATTATCAATATTTTTTGTTTTCAATTCTTTGAGATTATCAATATTTTTTGTTTTCAGTTCTTTGAGATTATCAATATCTTGAGATTATCAATATCTTTTGTTTTCAGTTCTTTGAGATTATCAATATCTTTTGCTTTCAATTCTTTGAGATTATCAATATTTTGAGATTATCAATATCTTCTGTTTTCAATTCTTTGAGATTATCAATATCTTTTGTTTTCAATTCTTTCAGATTATCAATATCTTCTGTTTTCAGTTCTTTTAAGCCCAGATGATTAAACATGAGGGGTGGTGCTAAATTACCTGAATCCCCCTTGCTGCTGCAGAGCAGAAGTTGTCTCAAAAGAGCTGCCTGTGCTTGCATTTCAGCTGCAGGAATTCATAGTTACAGCCTCCATGAGGGGATAATCACAAAACTGCTGCAATTTCGTAGGGTTATAATGGGAAATCTTTTAAACAAGAAATATGAGGTAAGGTAGTGGAGTTAGGAGCTCACAAGAAGCCATAAAGAAAGAAGGTATTGACAAATGTGTGAGATAAACGTTTCCTCAGGGATCTCTTGTTTTCCGCTGTCATTTTCTGTTCTGCCGGAGCCTGATCCATTCCTGTGCAGCCAGGGAGAAGCTCCCACTGGTTTCACTGAGCACTGGGACACATCCCAGCTGAACTGGGAACATGACAGTGCTCTCTTTGTGAGCAGGAATTGCTGTGACACACACCAGCCACAGCCACTGAAGAGGGCTGGTGTGATATTCAAAGCCCTGCACAGAACCTGAAGCCAACAGCAGCGCCTCTGCTTCAAAAAGCTTTCAGCCCTCTCTGCCTCCCCTCTTGCACTTTAATCTTGCAGTCTTTGAACATCTTTCTTTCATCTGAAGAGGGCTCTGCAATTATTTGATGCTTGCAAGGGGGAAATTCACTTCACAGGGTGTCCTCAAGGGGTGTTGACAGAGCCAACCATAACCTGCCTGTTCTGGCTGCAGATGCTGAGCTGCTTGGAGCACATGTACCACGACCTTGGGCTGGTAAAAGACTTCAACATCAATCCTATCACCTTGAAGAGGTGGCTGGTGAGTATTTCAAGTTACTGGTGTTTGCAGTTTTTCACATTCAAGAATCTATAAACAAGGCATTTAATCATGGCATTAACGTGACTGGCACGAGTAGTCCCAATGAAAGCAGTCAGTCTATACAAATTCTTAAAATTTAAGTACTTCAGGAAATGTTTGCATTCTTGTGGTCACAAATGACTCTTTTTAAACTGTTTTGCATTCATTTGCTGAGGTTTCTATTACTGAAAGCAGTTCATTTCTGCTGAATGCTCTTGATACCTACTGTAAATGGAGGCAAGACAAGTGCCTTCAGATATAGCTAGAAAGTGCAATAATCATTCAAAGGACTAAATCACAGGGAGCAGAGGAAAGAGCAAGTCAGGAAGGAAAAGGAATTGCTGAGAAGGTAACTTTCTGTGCTTCAGTCTTTGATGTGAGAATGTTGCAAAATGTGAGAAAGATGAGATCACACCAAAAGTGAGATGGCTGAGGGAGAAACACTGGAATATTTAAAAAAGCAAAGAGTTTTCAGGTCCAAGGGAGAGCAAAAGAAAGTGTTTGTTAAAAAGATGAAGAATATATTTGCTTTCTTAGGAAAAACCCATGATGTTCCTAGAGAACTGTGGACCAGTAAATATTTTAACCATTGTTTAAAAAACATCCAAGGATAGCCTGAGGAATTATAACTAGTAAAAACTTACCTCTGTGTCTCACAAATTGACTGAGACAATAATTAAAAACATCATGGTGTGAATTCATCATACAGATGTTTTATAAAATAAGGACTTACACCTCATTAGTCTTTTCTAATTCCCTGAGGGCGCTGGTTTGCATGGATGTAGACTCCTAAAAATGTCACAAAATCAGGAGGCAGCTGGAAAGGACAAAGAAGAGACCGGGTCCCATCACAGGTTACAGCACAGCAGGAGGCACATGGGGCTGTCCCTGCTGGGTGTCTGCTGCAGGAGGGACACAGTGAGGCACAGGGCTGGGCAGAGCCTGCCATAAGGGATAAAATGTCACCACACAAGGCAGGAGCCTCACCTGAAATCTATTCCCAGCACCAGTGAGGCTTTTTTAGAAAAATAATATTGACTGCATTAAAGGAGACACCAAAAATTATCAAAATCTGGTAAATCTCTCCCTCTGAAGAAGGCAAATGAAAAGCTGGGTGGTGTTGACCCTATAAAGCAGCTGAAGACAAGGGGTGGGATGAATCCCAACACAAACAAGGGTAACACAGAGTAGATAAAGCAGAAGATCTCCTCCTCCTCCTGTTTCACAGCCCAAAAACATGGGAAGCAAGGTGATATGTCAACACACACCAACAGCCCACCCACACACCCTGCTGCAGGCAGCTTCCCCGAGCTGTCTCCAAGCAATTTGTCACCACTAACATTTAAGGCAGCCTCACTCTGAGCAACAAAAAGGGGAGTTTGTTGTGTATTTTCTACAATGGTAAGGCAGGGTGAGGTCTCCCATCTTCTTGAAGAAAGCAAAATGATTTTTAAAAGCCTCAAGGGCTCTGCTCCAAAGGGGCACAGTGTGGGCATCACTTTGTGTCGCCACGTTCCTCTTTACAGGAAAAAGCAAAGCACAGCTTCCCAAAAAATTTCTAAAATTCACATTCTCTAAACCTCAAAAAAAAAATTCTTATCTCATTTGCTGCACCTGTGTTTGTTCACAAGTAAAACACATTATAAAAAATTATTTACCTAAAAGAAATTAATAATCAAATTCTAGTGTATTTTACTTCACTAACCAGTTAAATCCATATATATGTATATCAAAACCATCAGCAAACAATCACAAAATACTATACAATAAAATACAATTAAATACTTAACAAATTCAATTATAATGTAATATAATGTAATGTAATGTAATATAATATAATATAATGCAATATAATGTAATATAATATAATATAATATAATATAATATAATATAATATAATATAATATAATATAATGTAATATAATGTAATGTAATATAATGTAATGTAATGTAATATAATATAATATAATGTAATGTAATATAATATTTAAACTTCTAATGAAATAAAATCCTCCTCATCATTCCTTCCAAACATCAAACAAAAATATCACCAATAACTTTGAACTCAAGTGGGAGAGAAAAAGCCACCTCATGCTTATCCCACATCCACTGGCTACAGAAGTCTTCCAAAAAGAGGAGGAAAGAATGATTAATGCAACCCAGTCATTGCATCAGGAGTCCCTTGGGATGCTCTGGGCTCCAGAGCTGGATGTGCACATTACATCCATGCAGCTTTGTGCAGTGCCATGTGTAGGCTGTGAGATACCACCTGTGAGCCTGGCTGACAACCATATCATGCCATTCCTAAGTCATTTTAAAGTAATGAAATGTGTTTCTAAAATCCTTACTTGCAGAATCATCTGTGCAGCTTTTGCAATGAAGCCCACAAATAGTGAATAAGCACTGAAATGCCACACTTGTCTTGACCTCATCCAGAGCTTTGAGGTCTCCTGGAAGTCAGGTGATGGGTTGAAGTGTTTGATCCTGATGGGGTGTGAGGACTCCTGAGGTAAATTCCTGATTTAGCTGGAGAAGGGGGCAGGAATTCTGTCCATGCCATCAATTCAGGCTCAGTAACTGAAGCATGAAGGCTCTCCAGGCTTTGGAGGAGGATTCAGCAGAGGGGTCCAGCAGTGCTGCTCTGTGAGGGACAGGAAGCCAGAGGAGCATTGGAATAATGACCATGGCATGTGTCAACCCAGCTGTGCCAGCCTCCCTCTGCCAGCCTGGCTGGCACCAGCCAGGACACAGGGACAGACAGGCTTTATCCTGCTGTGGAATGAGGGCAACCAAGCCAGGACCTGTAGGAAGTCAAACCACACAAGAATGGCTCATGTGAGCCCATGACAGCTCAATCTCTGCCAGGCTGACAGAAGAGAAAACCCACCATAGAAACATAGAAACCCAACATAGAAAACCCACCCAGCCCTTTACAGCCCCCCTTTAGCCACGGCAAGGTTTGAAATACAAATCCAGGATGAGGTCAGAGGACAGAGATGCAGCTGTGCTGGGATGTTTGTCCATTGCTGGCTGGCATGAGAGGGGATTTTCTGTGAGCTTTACCTGCTGGTGCATTCTTGGAATGCACAAACGTGAAAAACACCTTCACTCTCCTGTGAAATGTAATGTTTAATAAAGGACAATAGGAGACAAGGACCATGGAGCAAAGGTTATTATGGCTGGGTGCATCTTGGCACTCAGCTGAGAGCACACTGTTATCTTCAGAGATACCCCTAAATACCTTTTCATTACATCAGCCCTTTGCATAGACCCTTATGCATAGTAAACTTTTCTCCAAACTAGTTTACATGTTCCAAGAATTGTTTAGCACATCTCCTCCTTGGGATCCACCTTTTTTGAGCATGCACAATCCTTGGCTGTGGTTTTAGTCCTTTTTTATCACCTCCAGATTTTGGGCTTTGGCCCACACTATCTTCAGATAATGAGTGCTGATAATTGGAATATCTGTAGAGGTGTCCTCATCCTGTGTTCATAGGGTGTTATCCCATCCAAGCAGGAATTTTAACACAAGCATACTTATATCAGCTATTCACTATTTCGGCACTATTTCAGACTTACATCAGCTATTTCACTACTATGTCTAAGCTTAATTAACAACAGAAATAAAATCTATATCTTTGTAACTAAGTTACTTTAACATCACACATATAGAATCTATTTTAATATTTTCAAAAAGCCAATATAATAATATGTATTATAACACAAATCTTAGCCAGGAAGGCAGAAGTTGTCAGAGGCCCTGTGCTGTCACTCTGTCCTAGCAGAGGATAATCCTGGACCCCATAGTATAGGAATGTGCCCCTTCTTGATGGAGTAACAAAACTATCCTTTGTCTCCTCAAAAAGGAAAAGAGCCCAGAAGTTTCTTTCCTCAATTAGGTAAAAAGACACCTCATAGGGCTTGGGGGACTTCACCTCAAACTTTAGGATAGCCAATTGGATAAGAGGCAAAAAGTCTGGCCTGAGCAATTTACTAGAAAAAGAAGAGAACAAAGAAACTAATGGCTTTTGTGAGGTGTTTTACCAGGAGCAAGAACTTCTTCCACCTGGCTCGGTTTTTCTCTGTAAAGAGCTTTGTTATTTTGCCTTTTATTAAAACCTTTTTGTTTCCAACACTACCACAGAAGCCATCCTGCTGATTTTATGCCATCTCAGGTAGCTGAGCTATCTCGGGTGTGATACAGATCTCCAAGAGCTCATAAGACCTGGCTTGAGGAGACCCCTATTTCATGATAGAACTCCTTTAAGGATTTCCAGTGCTTGGCAAACAGCTCTGCCAGCTCTGACAGCTCCATTCCCTCTCTCTGCAGCTGTGCATCCACGACAATTACAGGAACAACCCCTTCCACAATTTTCGGCACTGCTTCTGCGTCACCCAGATGATGTACAGCATGATCTCGCTCTGCAGCCTCCAGGTACAGCCCCTCCAGGGTTTTATCAGGGCTCTGGTGTTGAGGTGACCCCGAGGTGTTAGAAAATCTGCTTTTCCCAGCCCTGAGATCAAAAAAAAAAAAAGGCAGAATTCCTTGGCTCTCGTTCTCAAGGTTGTTTATTTTTTGCTATCTGAGATCTGCCCAGCAGGTTGGTTCATGGCACACTGACTGCCTTGGGGTGATGTTGTCTTTTTATACTAAAAACTACGTGTACAATGTTTACAATTACTTCCCAATACCTATCACCTATGTTAGACAGTGAGCTTCTACCTTAAACCAATCCAGAAGTGCCAACATCACAGCAGAAGATGGAGGCCAAGAAGAAGAAGGAGAAAGGCTGGACATGCCCAGATTCCTCCATCTTGCCTCCTGAACCCCCATTCTAAAAACCCCAAAAATCTATTTTTCACCCTGTGACAAACTAACTATTATTCTACTTAGACTTTTGTGGCTTGCAGATCCTCATATAAGGTTGGTAATTTTTTTCCATGGGTCATAATCAAAGGCACAGGGGTCTTGGGCTCTGTGCCAGGGTCTCTGAGCCTGGTTTGAGCAATCCAGGACAGCCAGAGGGATATCCTGAATTCCAACATATTTTTATACTAAGAACTACATGTACTTTATTTACAATAATTTTCCAGTACCTGTCACCTATGTTAGACAGTCTGTCTCTACCCTAAACCAATCCCAAAGTGCCACCATCACAGCAGAAGATGGAGGACAAGAAGAAGGAGAAACACAGGACACACCCAGATTTCTCCATCTTGCTTCTTGAACCCCCATTCTAAAACCCCAAAATTCTACTTTTTCACCCTGTGACAAATTCACTATCATTCTACTCAAACCCTTGTGGTTTGTAACTCCTCACACAAAGTTGGTAATTGTTTCCATGGGTTAAAATCGAAGGCACAGGTGTTTTTGACTCCGTGCCAAGGTCTCTGAGCCCCCAGCCAGGGTCTGGAGTCCTCCAGGGCAGCCAGAGGAATGTCCTGGATTTTGACACAGGGCACCCACTGCATTCCCACCCTGAAACCTGAGCCACTTCTCCTGCAGAACGGGCCACAGGCTGCTGTGATGCCAAGTGTGGCTTCTGAGGAGGCTGCACCCAGTCCCTGGGTGTGGGGAATGGATTTGTAGAGGATTCTCCAATCCTGACAGAAGGCTCACACAGTGTGTGCATCCCTGTGCAAACCTTGAGACAAGAAATGCTGGCTTAGAAATGCCATGGAATAGGATAGACATTGTGAAGAGAGAAATGGAGCTAGAAACAAGCTTGAAAGGATGGCCTTGCAAAGGATGGCCTCTGGATGCTTTAGGGAAATAGAGCTATGAAAGGTGCATTGTATTAAGACCCACAAAAAGTGATTTTAGATGATTGGCTTTAAGGCATTTACAGTATTAATTACATTATTATTACATTATTATTAATCACAGTATTATTTAAAGTATAGCATGGCAAAAACTGAAAGGCCAATAAACACTTATACTGTATTATAATTAAGAAATAGCTTTTTTTACCAATTTTTACCAAAATTTTTACCAATATTTAAGGTATTTTCAAAATAGTTGTGTTATTGAAATTTCAAACTAATATTTGCATGCCTGTAAAATCATAAACTAAACATTGTTCAAGAAGAAGTAAAATTGAGCTACTTGTGGCATTTTAGCAAAGGACTTCTGATTGTGATGGTGTGAATTATAACATCTGTATTGTCTCAGCCTTCATATGAAACTGAAAATAGAATATAAGTTTTTTAAATGCCTCTCAGTTACCCCATCATCTCAGTCTAGATCAGAAGAAATCTTAACCTGACACCCAGGTACACAAGGAGAGGTGTTGCATTTCCATTGCTGACCCCCAGCACCTGCAGAGCTTTCTGAGGCTGCTGGGCAGGTAACTGCACCTCCTGGATGCCCACAGTTTGTACTCTGATGGAGTGAAATATTTAGGAATGACAGATAAACCTCTGCTGAGTAATGGTCTGTGGGTTTGTTCTTTGTTTGGGACACAAAATGCTCCCACAAGAGGTTTTCTCCAAATGTGTGCTTTGACCTGTGCTTGTCCTGTAGCCTGGCAGGTATTGTATGCACACATTTCACCTTTATTTTGTCCAAAACCATAAGCATCAATTAATTTCACTGTCTGGATAACCTGCACTCATATATTCATTTCATTTCTTTACAAAACTGCTTTTTTTCACTTTAAAAAACTCTTTTTTTCTCTATAGTTACACATATCAGTTACTGGCCTAATTCTGTTTTCTTGCCAGTAGCAATATGAAGAAAAATTTGCTTTAATGCAAGTCCACGGTGCTCAAAAGCTGTGGGAAGTCAACATTTAATTTTTCTTGCTCTTTTGCTGACTTTATTTAATGCAGAATGCAGTGGCAACAGAGCCATCTTCCAGCCCTGCCTTTACCTAATCAGGGTGCTCAAATGACTTCTAAGAGACTGAACTGATGTCTCAGTGCTTTTATATCATCTCTGCAGTAATAGCAAATTTCAAGGAAATTGCCTCCTCTGAGCTGCTGTTATTTCATGCAACAAAGGCAAATCTGAGTCATTTTTACTGGAAGGGAAGGCAGATTTCTCTCTTTTGACTGAAGTAAATTCATCTAAGGAAAAAATGCTTCATTTTGCTCAGATTTGCATTTCTCTAAAAAGTAAATATGTCTGATTTCTTTATTTCTTTTGATTTACAGGGATAGGGGAAGTAGAAACCATAATATTACATTCATGTTTTGTATTTTACAGGAGAAATTTTCCCAAATTGACATTTTGATTCTCATGACTGCTGCAGTGTGCCATGACTTGGACCATCCAGGCTATAACAACACGTGAGTCTGCTCTCTTGCTTTCTCTTCCCCTAAAATCTCTTGGGAAGGTAACACTGGTTGGCAATTTTTGGTAGATCAGGTTTTCCTCCTCACAGCCTGACCTTTTCCCAAGGCACTGCTGGTCACTTACATGGGCCAAAGCAGAGCTCAGGTCTGGGTTGGGGTTTGCCAGCTGTCCTTGGTTCTGTAGGGAAAATGGGTTTTTTTTCAGATTTCTATTTAAACCCTTTCCCCCCTAACTCCTGAGAAAACAAGGTGAAATACTTTACAGCTGGTAACAGAGCTATAAATTATTATACTGGAATAATTACACTAATATTCAAAGGGGGATTTAGCTTACACTTTATTTCATAATTATGAATCATGAAGTATACTTTACTCTGTTTATTTTCATGTGAGGAAATTATTGCTATTGACCCACAGACACTTTAGTGTGCATGTGAAAGAGAGACAATCTGATTTATTTGTAACCACTCATTAAATTAGGGCAGAACCCAGTTCTGACTGGGATCAGTGAGAATCTCTGCATCTGCCATTAGTAGGGGTTGAATTAAACAGTTCAATTCTGGTTTTGTTCTATGTCAAAACAAAAAAAAACCAGTTTGGATGGTTTTTTAGAGGTGGAAAAAATGTCAAAACGGTCTTTGATTTGTTCAAAATCAAAAAAACCCAAAACCAGTTCCTTCTGCTTTTGTTGTACATCGTTTTAAACCAGAAACATGACAAAATATTCAACTAGAAATTTAAACTAGACATTCTAAACTAGAAATGTGGCAAAATTTAAAGAAGGAATAAAAACCTTTTGGGGTTTTTTTTTGTATTGGTATTTTGGCATTTTATATATTATATTTTGGTATTTTATAATATATTTTATATATTATAATCTTTATTAGTATTCACCCACTGAGGGGAATCAACACCTGAGATTTTATTAAATATCTATTTTCTGTGCAAATCTGACTTCATACCAACGACCAAAAAACCCCCAAAGCTGCAGCTCATTGAATAAGCACAGAAAAGAATGCAAGCAGGTGGTTTGGAGCAGCTGGGGGTGCCTGGGGAGCTTTCTGCTCAGGGTTTGCCTGCCCTCAGCTACCAGATCAACGCGCGAACGGAGCTGGCCGTGCGCTACAACGACATCTCCCCGCTGGAGAACCACCACTGCGCCGTGGCCTTCCAGATCATCTCCCAGCCCGAGTTCAACATCTTCTCCAACGTGGACCAGGACCAGTTCAAGCAGATAAGACAGGTAGGAGTGCTGGGCACGCCGGTCCTGAGGTACAAACACGCACGGAGCTCCCTGCTCCGCAATGGGAGGGATTCGCCCTCCCTGGAGGGCACGGCTGGAAAAGCCCCTCACACTTGGGAGGGTCCTGTGGTGGTGTTGTGAGGGTCCCCAGGATGAGGTGAGAGATGATGAGAATCTCTCCAAGTTCTTGGAAGGTTGATATATTATTATATATTATATTACATTACATTACATTACATTACATTATATAATATTATATTATTTTTATAATATTATTTATTTTGATATTCATTATTTATTTTTATTATTTATATAATCTTTATTTTTATATATTTATAACTATAAATATAAATATAAATATAAATATAAATATAAATAATATAAATATCTAATTATTTATATTTATATTATTTAATATATTTATATTATTTAATATATTTATATTATTTAATAATTATTTATTATATTTATATTTAATATATCTATATTATTTAATAATATAAATAATATAAATATATTTATTTATATTTTATCTATATTTTTATTTATTTATTAATATAATATTATTTATATTATATATTATATAATTATAGTATTTTTATATTATTATATACTCTTTTCATATATTTATCTAATATAATTTATTTATATTAGATTTATTATAATATTATATTATCCTATATTAATATTATTCTTATAATATTATTTATTTTTATATATTTTTCATTTTTATTTATTTATATATAATTTATTTAATTTATATATTGTATAATTATATTATTTTATATTATTTCATATGATTTTAATATATTTATATTATATAATTTCTTATATATATATTATATTATATTATATTATATTATATTATATCATATTATATTATATTATATTATATTAGTTATGTTATATTTATTATATTATATTATATCATATCATAACATATCATATCATATCATATTTATTATATGAAAATAATATACTAAAACTATTCTAAAGAAAGAGAAAGGATACATCAGAAGGCTAGAAAAGAATGAATAATAAAAACTCGTGACAGACTCAGAGAGCCTGACACAGCTGGTTGTGATTGGCCATTAATTAAAAACAATTCAGATGCTGGGTAAACAATTCTCCAAATCAAATTCCAGGGGAGCAAAACATGGAGAAGCTGAGGCTTCTTGTCTTGTCAGGAGAAGAAATCCTGGTGAAGGGATTTTTCATAAAATATCACAGTGACAGGATCTGAAAGGGATTCTTGGAAAATTTCCACAGCAGCACTCCCTGGAATGCATTGCTGAGGAATGATGAGTGCATCCTGACTATTAAAGCCTATGACATTTTGGGGGTAGATGTTTAGAATGCTGGAGGAGCCAATTAGCTCTGACTGGAGAAGGATTAAGCTCTCAGGGCAGAAGTTTGTGCTTTACAGAATACTGTATTAATTTTAAGAGGGGCTTCAAAAAGGGAAAAGATTTGCAACAGCAGAGCACTTGTACTGTTGGAAGAGGCCCTGATGCACTGGGAGTCATCTCAGTTATCTCTGAGGCACTGAACAATGTTAGAACTCCCATCAGGGCTCTAAGGGCCAAAATTCAGTCTTAATTTCCACATGACACCTTCCTTACACACCGAGTGAAGAAGTGGTATAAAGGCTGGTTGGAGTTCCTGATTCTGTCGATGTGTGGGAAACTGGCACGGGCCCAAAATGGACTGTTCTGTATGAAAACCCACAAATTTAAATTAACCACATGTTTTCCCATCATAAATTCTGCACAGAAGGGGGATACAGAGCTCCTTGTCCTCATCCAAATGTTTCAAAGCCCTAATCCAAAGAGGATGGGCACAGCTGGCATCCACATCATGATTTTTGTCTCAGGGCCTCTAAGAGTCAGCAGCAAAACCCACAGTGCCTTCCAAGGAGAGGAAAGTGGATCTTGGCAGACAGAGTGTGGCTTTTAACATCCTGTAGTACAGTTTGCTTTTCTACAATTAGTCAATGAGAAAGGAAAAACCTCAGTGTCTCTGGAATATCACATAAAACCATGATTCTCATGTACCACGAACTCTTTATAACCCTCTTCCCATATCCTTGGCAGTTCCAAGTCAGAAACTTCCCCCTCCAGCATGAGCAATTCAGTGCATCTGAGGCATTTCGTGTGCAAGACAGATCCTATTTGGCTTTGCAATAGCAGACCTTGTAAGGAATGTCAAGTTAATATGTGAATATGTTTTCTTTGCTAGGGGATAATTACATTAATCCTGGCTACAGACATGGCAAGACATGCAGAAATACTGGACTCTTTCAAGGAAAAAATGGAAAACTTTGATTACACAAATGAAGAACACATGACCTGTGTAAGGAGGTTTTGTGGATTGTTATTTTTCTGTGCGTGGAGTGAAAGCTTGTAGATTAACTTTTGTATGTTGAAAAACTGAGATTCAGTATGTATTATCAAAAAATAATCCATCCTACACCAAGAAATAATTACAATTTGGAAGTGCTTTATATTGAACAGATTTTTCCAGCTTTAGGAATCCTGGAATCCCATCAGGAAAACAAAAAAAATTACTCTATTAGGCCACAAATTTTTACCGTCCTTTACTGTGGGGCAAAAAAAAATCCATGAGTAAAACCTCTAGTCTCCTCTATTCCCCAGTGCAGCTGTGTTTGATTTCCAGGGAAATCTTTTCCCAGCTGCCTCTGCCACAAAAGCCTTAATGGTCACTTGTTACTGAATCTCTTCCTGCAGCAGATAAGTGCACATCCCACTGTGACACATCCCAGAGCGGGAAACCAAGGCAGAGAGGGGATAAATGATTCACACAGAGCAGCTGAGAGAGGGGAAAAGGATCCAGATCACCTAAGAGCTCTGGTTAAATCCTGAAATTGTCCTTTCTGGTTGAAAGCATTGCAAGGACAGGGGCTGTGGAAAGGGGGGAAAGGGGGAAAGGGCTGGCTTTAGGAGTGCAGCATTGAAGTGTCATCCTCTTTCAGCTGAAGATGGTGCTGATAAAATGCTGTGACATCTCCAACGAAGTCCGCCCGATGGAGGTGGCAGAGCCCTGGGTAGATTGCTTGCTGGAGGAGTATTTTATGCAGGTAAGAGAGAGGGAGAGATGCAATTGCACAATTACACAATTTCACAATTTTCTGCTATTTCCAAATCTCACAGGTGCTTCACTGTTTGACAGCCCAGTCTGGTTCTAGCTCTGAACTACCTGGTTTAGTGGAAGTTTCCCTGCCCATGGCAGGGGGTTGGAACTGGATGATCTTTAAGGTCCTTTCCAACCCAAACCATTCTGTGATTCCATGGAAAGCTTCTATTACAGAAAGCCAGAGAGGAATGCCAGCAAAAGAACCTGTTCAAGTGGATGCAACTGATTTTCTTTTTTAATCATTAGTAAAGAATGAGATATAATTTCTGTTTGAATACCTGACAATAATCACTCTCTGGAGAACAATGAGGAAATCACAGAACTCTTCCATCTCTTTCAGAGCAGCAAGAGCCATTACCAGCTCTCTGAATGCTCTGAAATATTTTACCTCACAAGTCCAGTGGGTTTGCAAAGGGAGTCAGCTGCCCTGCAAGCCTGGAGGTGAACACTTTGATGCTGGTGCTGAGCAGAAATAACTGAACAGGATTCTCTTTATTCAGATGCTGCTCTCCACAAAGCAGAGACATTGCCCTGAGGGCAGCACATCCCCGTTCTGTGCTGCCTACAGACACCTCTGTGATCTGCATCTGAGGGCTGCTCATCTGCTTGCTGCATCACTCTCCTCACAGCCTGCTAGACAGGATTAATATTTGTTATCTCTGCCTTTGTTATCTCTGGGTTGTTTCTCTGGGTTTGTTCCAGAGCGACCGAGAAAAATCCGAGGGGCTCCCGGTGGCGCCGTTCATGGACCGCGACAAAGTGACCAAACCCACGGCACAGATCGGCTTCCTCAAGTTTGTCCTCATCCCCATGTTCGAGACAGTGACCAAGGTAAAGTCACCCAGGGCCAGAAACCAGGCAGGGGGAGAGCAGAGCTGCAGTGTTTGCCTCAGCAGGTGTCTGGTTACCCAGGGAAATGGGGATCTACCTTCCACACCCCGTTTTCAGCATGTACAGTGAAATGATGCAGCAGCAAGTTGAGGAATGCAAAAGGAAATGCTGATAGTCTTTTTCTTGTTCCCACCTAGCTGTTCCCAGAAGTGGAGGAGGTGATGCTCCAGCCTCTGTGGGAATCCAGGGACCACTATGAGGGGTTAAAACAGATAGATGATGCTATGAAAGAGGTAAACTCCAATTATCTCCTTGATACTGCAAACATTAGAATTGAATAAGCCAAACACTATAATTAAGCAGTAGCTCAATTCTGAAACAGTGGGATTGCTCATGGCATAATCATTATCCTGAGAAACACATTCATTACACCTGCCTGGAGAGAGGTGTGTGCCACCAGTCCTTGCAGAGTCCACCAGGAACCACACAAATATGGGCATGGGACAGGAGCTGCTTGCAAGGCACAGAACCCGGGGATAACCCCTAAAGGGAGCACAGATCTCCCTGGAGGGATCTGCCCTCCTTTGGGAAGGAATTTGCTTGGGTTACACTGCAACAAAATGCTCTGGGGTCAGGCAGTTCAAGTTTTGCAGCACCAGTGCATGAGTTTATTTTCTGGGAAGGAACTTCCAGTCACCCGTGTGTCATCAAGGATGTGCTTGGTGTTTTATGAGGAATCACTGTGTCATGCAAAGCACCCAGGAGGATTAAACACACAACCAGTGAAGCTCTTTAATTGCCCACTGGGGACTTGAATGTACAGAGCATCTCTCATTTTGTAGGGCTCAGGGGAGGTGGGAATTCCAGGTAAGCCCATTTGCTGCCTCTCAGCAGGTCTGCACTGCCTCAGGAGCCTGGCAGGGCAGAGAGCAGTGCCCAGGGCAGCAGGCAGAGTGCTGCTCCAGCTCCCTGTGCCTCTGCACTCCTTTCTTGCACACCTCTTCCAGTGCCTCTTTTCCCTGCCAAGATCCACTACAAAACCTGCCCTAATGGCATCACAGAGTAGGGAGTTTCTGACATGAAAAAATTCACCATGTAGGCAGGCTACTATCAGCCACTGCATCATTAAAATAAGGTGGGAAGTGCCCTGGAGCACCAGTTGTGCTGATATTTGATGTGTGGGTAATGGAGGTTCCTCCACTTGATCATCCATGAGTGGAACTGAGGCTTTGCTGTAGCTCCCATCTCCTCCCAAGTGCTTTGGAGAAAAAGCCCCTCAGCACTTCAAGTACTGAGGCTGGTTGATCAAAGAGCACAGGCTCTGAGGGCACTAAATTTTAAAGGAGAACAAAGCCTTTTGGGCACTTTTCCATTTAGAAAGGAGCATCTGTCAAACGAGGGCAAAAGATCTCAAATACAAGTGCCAGACTTTCTGAGTTTTATTCACCTTTCAAGTTGAGCTGAGATTTTACTTCTGGTTTACAGCATCTGTCAAAACAGCATTTTTACACAAACTGATGGAGCTTTAATTGCAGTGTATTGGCACTGTAAGAGGCCTTAAAAATAGGAGCTGCTTGAATTCAGAGATATTCTGAAACAAGAGGACTTAATTAATAATCTGAGAACCTGGTACAATAGCTGATGAGATAGACTGAGTTCTGTTTGCCCAGGATGTTTATCCAGAGCTGTTTGGATGAAACAATGCCTGTGATATTCCAAGCTGCTGCCTATTATTTCCCAGGAAATGCTGCACATGCCTTGTGGAGAGCACAGCAGCACTGTGAGAGTGAGTCAGGGGGGATTAACCCTGCTCTGCTCTTCATTCCAGCTGCAGAAACAAAAAAGTGAAGGTTTGACCACCGGCAGCACCGAAAAGTGAGAGGAAACGGCCTTTGAACAAATAAACCACGAGCCTTGAGGCTGCCCTGCTTTGAGAAATGCTCCATTAGCCAAGCAGAGGTGGTGGCTACATCAAAATCCAAGAGGGACCATGCAGGGAGAGATGGATCCACAGCCTGCAGCCTCCTCACAGAGATGCTGCTGCCGTCGGACACCGTGGGCAACCCAGACCCCTGAATTGTCACCACAGCCTCCTGGCAGGATTTCCCAGACTCCTGAATTCCCACCACAGCCTCCTGGCAGGATTCCCCAGGCTCCAGCATTCCCACCACAGCCTCCTGGCAGGATTGCCCAGGCTCTGAATTCCCACCACAGCCTCCTGGCAGGATCCCCCAGGCTCTGAATTCCCACCACAGCCTCCTGGCAGGATTCCCCAGGCTCCAGCATTCCCACCACAGCCTCCTGGCAGGATTCCCCAGGCTCCAGCATTCCCACCACAGCCTCCTGGCAGGATTCCCCAGGCTCCTGAACTGTCACCACAGCCTCCTGGCAGGATCCCCCAGGCTCTGAATTCCCACCACAGCCTCCTGGCAGGATTGCCCAGGCTCTGAATTCCCACCACAGCCTCCTGGCAGGATTCCCCAAGCTCCAGCATTCCCACCACAGCCTCCTGGCAGGATTGCCCAGGCTCCAGCATTCCCACCACAGCCTCCTGGCAGGATTGCCCAGGCTCCAGCATTCCCACCACAGCCTCCTGGCAGGATTCCCCAGGCTCTGAATTCCCACCACAGCCTCCTGGCAGGATCCCCCAGGCTCTGAATTCCCACCACAGCCTCCTGGCAGGATCCCCCAGGCTCTGAATTCCCACCACAGCCTCCTGGCAGGATTTCCCAGACTCCTGAATTCCCACCACAGCCTCCTGGCAGGATCCCCCAGGCTCTGAATTCCCACCACAGCCTCCTGGCAGGATTCCCCAGGCTCCTGAACTGTCACCACAGCCTCCTGGCAGGATTCCCCAGGCTCCAGCATTCCCACCACAGCCTCCTGGCAGGATCCCCCAGGCTCTGAATTCCCACCACAGCCTCCTGGCAGGATTCCCCAGGCTCTGAATTCCCACCACAGCCTCCTGGCAGGATTCCCCAGGCTCCAGCATTCCCACCACAGCCTCCTGGCAGGATCCTCCCTGTGGACACTGCTCAGGCTGCAGCACAGCTCCATCCTTCAGCAGATCTGCCTCTCTGGTGACCCAGCTGCCCACAGGCTGTAGAGACAAACCAGAGTTTAGCTAAGGAGCCTTTTCTGGGACATGATCCCCTGGCACCAGGGGTTGTTTTAGTCAAGACACTCTCTATATGTATACAGCAGGATGCTAATTACAGCATAGCTCACCAGATGCTTATACACTGACAAGGGTCCAGCCATGCATTTTTGTTTGCCTGGTAAGCCCTAATGACACATTTCTCCTCATTATCCTCTGAATTTTATAGTGTTCACAGTACATTCAGAAGCCCAGCATAGTGGATGCAATTTTCTTTTTTTTTTTTTTCTACACTAGAAGAAATCAGAAGAAACCTTGGTGAGTTTGCAGGGTGGCTTTGTGGCCTGGTACAGCTGGACACCACAGGATCCTTCAGCATGGACAAAGAAGGGAGCACAAAGCTGAAAAAGCCACAGTGCAAACACATTTTTATCCTTGTTGATGAAAAAACAAACAAACAAACAAAACCAACAAGAGACAGCTTCAAAGATGTACAGATTTTTTTTTTTAACTTTTAAACTGATCTGCTAAATAATATATTCTTCTACAGAAATGGGTGTTATTGTTTCCTTTTGTGTATGTGTTCACATGAGAACAGTCCATGTTCCTAAAGACCAATAATGAATACAAGGGAAGGGGCTTGGAAAGGCGGGGGGGATGGTTTTCCTTGGAGGAGAAGCCTTGGAATTATTCCTGTGGTGCATCATGGAAAGCTGCAGTTCCATGGATGGCTGAGTGATGGTTGGGAGCCAAGCTGTGCCCAGGCGTTGCAGCAGTGAGAGCAGACAGAGCTGGGACTGATTCCTGTGCACCCCCTCACCAAAGGGAAGGCTGGAGTAAATCCCACGGGAATCAAGGCACAGCCATGCTGCTCACCTGGTTTCTCCCAGCTGGGAAAAGTTGTCCTTGCTGAGGGATTCAGGCCCTACCATGGTGTGGGAGCAGGGATCTCCCACGCTGGCAGTCACAGGCATGGACAGTGCTCAGGTTCCCCTTGTTCCCCCTGCTCTGTAAATCCCAAAGCTGCAGCTGGTTTGTCAGGGGGATGAGCAGAAAGGGGACAATCCTTCCCCCATAACCCAGGAAACACTTGAGGCAGCTCAGCCTCTCTCCCAGGGCTCAGCTACCAGCCCTGAACAGCAAATCCTGCCTCCTGCCCTGGAAATTCAGACTCTCCTCCTGTTGTTTCTGCACATTAATCCTGAGTTTATCTCTCATTTCTCCCCCAGTGCCGTTTCCTGTGTTTGGTTTCTTTCATTAGCACACAAATTGTGTTATTGCAGTTACTCTCCAATCTCTCAGGGAGATCCAAATTACCCCAAAACTTCCATTCCCTCTACTCTGTTCCTACCAGAGACCCAGGACAGACTCACAGCTGGTTCTGTCTGCTGGTGCCTCCTCCTTTAAACAGCTTTTTGTGTGTGGTTTTGGGCTTTCTGCTGCAAACTGGAAAGGGCTCTGATCCCTGGATTTGAACAGATCCCAAGGGAAATGGAAAGATCCAAGCCCAGGGTCAGCTCCAACTCACACAGAATCTTCATGAATGGATGAACTACACCCTGGTTTTGATTCACCTCAAACTTCTGATGCTGGAAGTTCGAATCTGAATTATGTGGTATGAGAAACAACTGCTCACTTTGAAAATTTAAAGAGGTTTATTAAACCTTGACAAAAACACAACAAAGGACTGCATAAGGAAAAAGCTGCAGTGCTGGGAACTGCCCCTCATGCACACCACATGGCCAGTTCATCTTCAGGATGGATGCTCAGTCTTTTATACCCCTGGGGGCTGCATCAGCCAGCCCTGGCCCTCCCAAGGTCTGTCAGTCAGCTCTTCTGTGCCATTTATCAGTGCAAACTGCTTTCTTGTCCCTGGATTGGAGCTCAGGTGTTGCCATGCCCACCCCCTGAGCACCCCCAAGCTTTTCCATTCCCAGCTGCCCCATGCCAGGGACACCTGTGCAGCTTCTTTGTACCTGTCCTGGACAGCCCAGGCTGCCTGATGGCAACAATACAGGGGGGAAAGGGAACCATGGGGAGAACAGAGGACATCTAAACCACAATAACATAACTATACATCACTAAAGCTTTTATTGATATTCACATAATAGTTAACTTTTAATTGTAAGAGCCAATCACCTCATTATCCATTTAACATGTGGTTTGTGCCCTTTTTCTTTCCTAAACCTTATAATCCAAAGTACATTCCCAGACTGTTCCTCTGTGGAATTCTTCACCACTTATGCACGGGTAAATGGAATTTGCCATCTCCATTCAGGCAGATTTCTGTCCCAGACCAGCTCCCAGGGCAGATGAGCTGTGCAGGAGCCACCAACAATTGCTCAGGCCTTGCCAGCTCCTGCACTGAGCTGCTCACACCAGATGAGAAAACCTGCTGTGCAAACTCCACTGCCCCCTCCTGCCACCAAAGCTTCCTAGGAGTGAGATCCTTACAGGAAGTTTTGTTTCAGCTGGAAGGGTTTTCTCTAAGCACAAACCCTAATCCAGCAATTATTTATGCATCTGCTGAGCTCCCACCAGCCCTGGCATGAAGGAACTTCTTCCTTGCCTTTCTCTGACTGAAGGATTTTTGGGAATTGATGGTTTGTTTTGGCCTGCAACAATTTTAGGAGCAACCAAAAAAAACCAACAAAACTGTTTACTGGAGAGAGATGAACAAAAGACCTTGATGAAATCCTGCTGAATATTTTGGAGCTGCATCACAAATGTGGAAAAAGGGAATGCAGCCCATCCTCAGGGCTGCAGCAGTGACTGTGGTGATGCTGTAATGTGCTGTGAGGGTTATTGAAAGAACAGGCAACACCCAGGCTGCTTTCACAGGCAGCTGTAAAATAAATAAAAAAAACCCAAAAACATGCAATGGCAACCAGCTGATGGTATAAATGGGAATACCACAGTATTTTTTTTTAAATCTCATTTGTCTTTGTAATATTAGATTTCTATGAGACAGTCCTCCCAAGATATGTTTAACCAAGGGAAATGCAAGGCATTCTCTCATAATTCTGGTTTCTTATGCTTTCCCCACAATATTTAACATTGTGATTCATATGCTAATTAAAGGATTTGAGAGTCTCAGGCAATCAGCCCATTAAAATGTCACACATTTTCAAGGTGACATTTTAAAACCAGACTCAGCATGAGAATGAAGTTTTTTGAGGCAGGGAGACAGATGTCTGAGTGTGATTTAATCTTTTCTCCCCCTGTTCCAATGACTAAGAGTGGGTATTGTGTCTCAGTGTTGTTTCTGCTTACAGTAGGTGTCTTACAGAGAATTTTCTATGACCTGTGGCAGCTTTCAGCATCATGGCAGTGTCAGGTGCTCCCCAGCCTTGCATTGCTGTCCTAGACTTGTGATCAAAGCTGAACATAAAATGGGTTATAACAATTCCACACCATTTAGCCAGGGAAACTAATGATGAGCTCTGGGATTTTACTACTTTTTTTTTTTCTTTTTAGAGCTGTGAGATCCCACAGCCCATTACTCTGTGTTTTAGTGGGGTTTGATAATCAGATCAAACTGAGGCTGCACGCCTTGGGAGGGGAACAGCTTTTTAAAAATGTGAGTACCCCCACAGCAGCCAATTTACAAAGGAAGTTTAGTGCCTGTTAATACAGGAGCCAAGTGATGCCACAGGAGTGTCTGTGCATGGAAATTGTTCATCCCAGAGCTGCCTCTGAGCAGCAATAACAGCATCTGCCCCACGTGGGAGTTTGAGCCTGTCAGGAGAAGCACTGCCATGCACTGTTCCATTTTCCCATTTTAACAGCAGATTTTTTTGCTGCAAGCCTCTCTCTAAAAACATCTGAAGGGCAAGTTTACCTGCATGCCTGCTTGTCGGGGTCTCTCACTGCTCACAGTGACCCCGAGATGAGTTCCAAAGTCTCTTTTCCCAGCCTGGCACTTGAAGAAGGAGTCAGAGCTCTTCATTTCTCGGTCTCAAGGTTGTTTAATGTAGAAACATCTATAAAATTCTTTCTCCTGTCCAGCCAAGGTCTGCTCAGCAAGACAGTTCCAGGCACTCTGCCTGCCCCCAGGGCAGTGTTATCTTTTTATACTAAAAACTACGTGTACAATGTTTACCATTGCTTTCCAATACCTATCACCTATGTTAGACAGTGAGCTTCTACTCTAAACCAATCTAAAAGTGCCAACATCACAGCAGAAGATGGAGGCCAAGAAGAAGAAGGAGAAAGGCTGGACACACCCAGATACCTCCATCTTGCCCCCTGAACCCCCATTCTAAAAACCCCAAAATCTACTTTTCCACCCCGTGATAACTTCACCATCATTCTACTTAATTTGTCATGGCTTGCTGATCTTCATTTGAGGTTGGTAACTTGCTCCATGGGTCATAATCAAACCCACAGGGGCATCCTGGGCTCTGTGCCAGGGTCTCTGAGCCCCTGGCAGGGGTCTTGGCTGCTCAGGACAGCCAGAGGGGTGTCCTGGCTCCTGAACCTGCTCTGTGGGATTGAGAGCCACACTCTGCTTTTATTCTCTTGTCACGCTGTAAAAATTTCTGTGCGAGAGCAAACAGAGTGGGCAAATCCTCTACCCCACTAACACAAAACCTCCCCTTTTTGCCTTGTTTCCCATCTCCTTGGCTCACCTGTGGCTATAAAACAAAGGATCAAGCCTGTCAGGGATGAGGAGCACTCAACCCTCAGCCCACAGGAAGAGTTTATAGGGAAGGAGCCTCATGCAGGACCATCCAGCTCCAAGGAATTACTGCCCAGAGGTGTTTCTGGGGCCTCCTGAGCCCCCCTTGTGCATGCACCATCCTCTTCCACACAGCACCCTTGTCAATAGGGCTGTTTAGTACCAGAAAAATACAGCAAAAACTTTCTGAGGTGTGTTTAAAATAAAAGAGCTTGGATGCTCCTGATCTAGGCAAGATGGGAGAGCAGCAGGTGATCTCCCCTTTCTCTCAGCTCTCCAGGGCAGTGCCCAGGCAGAAATGTTGTTTGGACTCTGACAAAATGGGACATTGGAGGTCTGTGTGTGAATGCTGTGATGGCACAAAAACCCCAGTGTCAGGAAAATTAATGCACAAACACCAGAGGTTTATGTCCAAAAAGGAGACAGAGGAGTCCTTTGACTTTATTGGAATAAAGGGAGAGGCTATGGTGCATTCCCCTGGGATCTCTCAAATTTTTGGAGGACGCAGACTCCTTTTTATCCCAATTTCCCAGCTGCATTTCCCTTCTCTCTTTCCCCACTGGCTGAGGTACTTGAGAGGTACAGACTGCCCAGAATGCCTGACACCAGAGATTCCCCTCTAATGTATAACCCTCCCTTTTAATTTTTAATTCTTATGGAATTCAGGGGGTTTCCCCATTGTTTCTTTCATCTCTCAATGTCTAATTTTATTTATCAGCAAACCTAAAGTTTATTTGTAAAAGCCAAGATCTTTTTCCATCCATCAATCAGTGGAATCCTTCCCATTGTTTCTTTTATTCCCCAGTGCTGGTTTTATCTACCAGCAGACCCACAGCTTGTTTGTAAAGACAAATCCACTATTCCTC